CTTCATTAGACAACTGTTGTATTATTTCTTTGACAAGTAAGATTTAGAAATGACTACACACTGTCAATAACACTGGACCCGCAGGTCTTACTTTAACAAGGAACAAATTACCTCCTCAATTCTTGGTTATAACTTCATACTCTCAGGTATCCTTTCCTGGTCACTACCGACGAATACATAACACACTGGACAACTCCACAATTATAGTAACATACAATACCTCCTGTTAGTTCGCAAGGAACAACCTGGTACCTTGAACTCTCATTCAGTGGTTCAATACTTAACCTGGGATGACTATATTTCTGCTAGTCATCCCCAAGCATGGATATTAATACGGCTCCATACATATAACCAAGAACAGTAGATAGACCATGATCATACGACGGAGTCAGTGGGCCAAAGTTGTTTACAGGCTCGCTCGCTAGCTCGGAGCGCCTGGCCCGGGAAAGGTTGACTCATGGGGGTGGGCTGTGGCGTCTGCCAAGGAATCTCGCCCTGGGATTCTATCTCGCCACCTTAAAGATATCCTTCGAGAGACATCGTGCCCATAGGCGGCTCCCGAACTTCAGGAGTGTTGCTAACCCCCACAACAGCGTCTGGAGACGTGGAGGAGAAATCACAGAGGGAGTGAATATTTAACTTCACTATACAAAACATACGTCTGGCACCGGTCCAGACGATAGCTAGATCTTTACTTTACTCGACTCAATTGGCACGGAAGTTACCATGTTAAAACATGAACACTGATATTCACAAAATTGACTAAGTTAAACTGAATTAATATGGCGGCGTGGAACACACGTGAACATACCTGGAGACATGGAGGAGAAATCACAGAGGGAGTGATTTTTCTTCGCGCGCCGGCATATATACGGGCCTGAGGGCATATTCCTACTAGAAAGACTAATTTTACTAACAATAGGCCCTCTATTCAAAGTAGTCGTTGGACACCTAGCTGTGACCGTCAGTGTCACAGCTGAGGCTAATTTTCTACACCTATATTTATGATTTAATCAGAGATTGAGTTTGTCAGGAAAGAGGTGAAATGGAGTTATATATGCGTTCGCAACTCTATTGGCCTGACCGCAAACCACATCCCAGGTCAAATGGCCGTTAAGTCTTGGAGAATTTTGAGTTTGACAGGAACTGTTCAGGAGATTAATGACTTTCTTAAATAAACAACTGACACTAACTAAACTATAAACATCAGATTCTCTGATGTCAGGGCGACAAAATAATATAACTTCAGTAGCGATCAGAGACTCATGGGTATCCCCACGGACAACATAAAATACGCCACTCTAGCTGGCAAACTCGACACTCACTTATTTGACACGCCTTACTAGCACTAAGGACAGTTGAAGCACTCAACACCACTCACAATGGATCTTGACTGTTCCAACTGTAAACAGACATATCTAAGTAGACTCAAAACAAGGGTGTTCTCTCTCACATTCAAATTAATTTTATAGAGAGGTTGGTTTCAGTAAGTCAGAGAAAATGGGATAACGGAGGACTGAGGTGTCTTGAAGTGATGAGAAAACGGACTCCTCAGATGGAGGCCTCAAAATAAAAGCAGAGATACATGTTTTGTGGGCTATTGAGCGTAATATGAATAATTTGACTTTGGCGTTAACCGACGTGTATGACTGTTGTCGTTACAATGCACGTCAATTAGGTTACCCCTTGCCCATCTATAGTATAAGCTAGGCAGTTGCAGGAACTCTTAAAGCCCGTCCACACGATCGAGCAGTGCCCGGCGGGCACGAGCTAAATGCCGGTTATCTGGCAAAATTGGCGGGCAAACTAGCGGAGTGCGCGTGCCCGTCGTTGAGCGAAATCATGGTCCGCCTGTCTGGTGGTTTGCTGCCGGATATGGCAGCAATGTAGATCATTGGCGTGACAGTAAAGGGGAGATTGTTTTTGTATTATGTAATGAGGACATTCGTGTGTGTTCTTCGTTCCTGCCGCCCTCCTCACTCTAGTCCCATAGCTTCCTGTCTATGCATATCATAATTCTAACATTATTCAATGAATTTTTATGTACTACAAATCTCACCTGCAAGTAATCTTCCTTGAGTACTTCATACATGGCTTGACAAGTTGCAGGTATTATGCCAGACAAACTTTGTTTTGATATCCTTGTTCTATACTGAAGTGAGGTGTAGGTGCATCCAGTTGAAAGATATATGAGTGTTGCCTCTAGACGAGCCTCTGGATATACTCTCCCTCATATTGGTATCCTGTTTTTTTATATATGGTTCCACTTTCGCTAGAAGTTTGTAAATGGTGTTGGGGTCCATTCTCGTGTAATTGGTGAAGTCTTGCTCAGGTCCATCTTGCAGTTCACGTAAAATCGTGGCATGACTTCCCAATACTTTTCTTAGACCTAACCACTCTTTGCACCATTCCCTTTTCTGCATTTGGTTCTTCTTTTTGCACATAGCAGCAATTATTATAGTACACAACGCTATGCTCTTCGCTTTAACTGTCCGGCGATTATTCCTGCGACACACCATGGTGATCGTACCGCACCTTCCACTGCCGACTACCTACTAGCTACCGGCACCCGACTATGACTGCCGCCAACCACCCCCATGTGTACAACAACACACAGGCTTTGCCCAGTAAACGGGCAAAGCCTGCCAGGCATTGCTCGATCGTGTGGACGAGGCTTTATTCTTTCTGGATAGCTGAGGTGCCAAAGTGCAGGCACCAGTCTGATGGCCCTCCTTTGGACATTTTCAATCAACTGACATTCCCTACCATATTTCAGGGACCAGACAGGGTGACAGTATTCCAGGTGGTGAAGCACCTTACTCTTGAAGATCGTTATGAGAGACGGACCCTCTAAAAAATATCTGAACGACCTTACGAGGCCTAATAGTTTAGTTGCTCGATTCACCTTCTCACAATGGCCCAAGAACTTCAGTTCATTGTCAACATACACACCCAGGTCCTTTTTCCATTCGCAGTTTCTTCATCCCATTGGGACATATGATACGCCTTTGTTAACGCCGCTGGTTTCAGCTACAGTGCTGGCGTGTGTTGCCAATACAGTAAATCTTTCGACCTGTGACCTCGCCAGATATAGAAGTGTTTACAGACAAATCCTGGTTCTGCCGAGTGGACTGTCTTCGGCGGATGGCTGTGCTGCCCACCGCGCCATGAGGCAGATCGCCCTCTCTACCGATGCTGTGAAGACCAGCCCTCTGCTCGCCCTGGTGAACACCGACTCACAATCCTGTCCGAGAATTTGTGCTGGGACAATTTACGCAGTACTGTACTGTTGTCTCTTGGAACGCCATACTGATCTGCATTGATCCTCACTTGTAAGTACAGCCTAATTGATGACATACCCCTCAGTACTGAAATATTGTTGACTAATTACGCCTACTTGTTTCTGCCTTATCTGGAGCAATGAGACAATGCGGAATGAAGCGTAACTAAGATTAATAGAGCTATGAACTTTGTGTTGTCATTATGTTTTATAAATTGTAATTAAGATAAAATTGTGTGAGTAACTAATTATGTATCAGATGGATCACCATGTAATATTGATGAACGCCTTCTCCTCTGCAGGTTTTGAATACATCAATAAATATTGAATGCATCAATAGGCGGGTTTCAATCATTCCCTTCGAATTGCCCGTCACCGGAACGTCCTTAACCAAGGATTTACAGCCTTCTTACCTTGGTACGACCCAGGTGCATCACTAACTCCCAATTTACTGAGACCGGAGATGGACCTAAAATCATTCTTTCAAGTACATACAGGTACTCCTCTACTTAAGAACATTCAACTTAAAAACTTTCAGAGATGCAAACATCATCACTGAGGGGGGTTACCTGTCAGAACAGGTGTTTAATGTGGACGAGACTGGATTATTTTGAAGAAAGTTCCAGATAGAATAAACATTACCTAAGAGAAGAGTGAGCCAGGTTTTAAGGCTGTATTAAAGGGTATAGCTGTACTAAATATCCATAACCTTTTAATTTTTTTACAACATGTTTGGTATCTATATGAGTAAAGTTGGACTTACAAACAAGCCTCAGGAACGTAACTCGTTCAGAAGTAGAGGAGCACCTGTATACTTAAAACAAAAAAAAATAAAAATTCCTCAAATATTTTCAATATTACTCTCCAGTCATGAAAATAATTGCAGCTACTTTAAGGCCAAATGAAAGAACCTTGAACTGTTAGCAACATTCATCATATTCCTGGTCTACTTAACAAATGCTATAATCACATACTGCACCATGTCAATTCTTCAGTAAAGCCACGCTTACCTGACATGAACCAAGTCCTTTATCAACAGTTCTGGTTAGACCAAGCTGTAAACAATGCAAACTGTGATGCCTTTTTAGTTATTTTTTTTTGCAGTGCTCCATAATTTAACACCAAGGCAAGTACTGTAGAAGTGGTGAAAGCGAAAGTCGCAATGAGAGTACAACACAGTTTAAGCATACAGTACTCGCATTGATGATGGAACAGAAAATAATCAAAGTGTGCTTATGGTGCAACAAGAGTTCAGAATTAAAAGCTTAACTCCTCCTACCACTGAGAAACAAATGCTTCACCCTGGCCTCTGAGGGTGTATTCATATCCGGTTTTAAAATGTCATGATTGTTTAATAATGTTGTCGATATAGAGTACAGTACTGTATCTGTTTTTCATACTTTATAGCATCTGAATTCAATATGGTACAATTACTCCTCACTCAACATGGTAGAAGCATCTGGAAAAAGTATGTACCATTAAGTGAATGTAATTTCCCTATAAGAAATAATATTAAAGAAGGATGTATGAAACGAAAAGAACATTTTTTCACAAGGTACAAAATACACACATGCCATGTTAAAATAAGTAAATATCTATGAAACGATACAGTAATTTAGACTACAAAAGTATAGATGCGTCAAACTATGTACAGTACCATATACAGTAAAATACCATACCTCTAAACTGCATTAACAGAAGGATAATGATACTTGATATCTATAAAGAGAATTTTTATTCTTTTATTTGAAGCATATTAAATAAAAATTTACATCACATTACATAGCCTGCATTTTTTGGATGTACAAACCTAGTTTCTGATTCTGCCATTATCTGCAAAGAAAAAATATGACAATGTTAAAAACTTATGATGTGCTGGGCCGTTTCAACAGTCAGGGTAGTGATCCATCCGTAGTATTAAAAAGATGAACCACCAGTTCCAACAATAATGATAACCTGAAATTTGTAGCCAATATGAGTTGGTTCAAAACTGTAGGATACGAAATATGAGGCTACAGTACTTTTCAAATTGGTGAAAACCAGTAATAAAAACTTCTGTAGTAGACCATTTCCAACAACTTTCATCATCAGGTCAAGAAAATCGACACGCCCTGTACTGTACACAAAAGACAGTCATGCAGCAATTTGTGCTGTGCACATTTTCTTTTGATTAACCAAAAAGCTTTTCAATAAAATTATGGTGAATTTCACACAAGTCAATGTAATTCTGTTCAAATAACATATTTGTATGTCTATAACTAGCTAAGAAATATGGTACTGTATTTGTGAATGATCCATTTTTGTAGTTAGAAAGGAATGGTTTAAAAAACTGTTTTTCTACAGAAATTAAGATTAGTTTAAAAATAGGATGTTGGTTTTATCATAGAGGAAGAACTAGTTTAGACACCTGACACTCCAAACAAGAAATAATGAACTTAAAAGATACAAAATGGGGATGAGGGATCTTGGTACATACATTCCCTAATCCTATCCAAAGACTCTAAAAGATATTCTGTTAATAGGCTCAGGGACTACTCCCAGGCTTATGGGAATCAACTCACACCAGATATTGCACTATTTACACATTTCACTGTTTCTTCCATCAATAGAGTCCATACCAGTTGATGCAGTCTTCAATGTAGGCTCTATTTCCACATACAGTATAACACCTTCCAAATTCAATAGCATCATCATATACTGTAGATCTCTCACACTTCATAGGTGAATGCACAGAAATACATGCATTACTATACGAGGCACTCCACATCAGAAGGGGATGAAGAGCCAAATTAAAAAAGCGGAGAAAAACGCTTTTAAAGTTTTTTGAAATTCAAACCACATTAACTTTTTTTTTATTTTTTAAGCTAGAGGGTTCATTTTTATTTCAGTGTGCAGCTCAATCCATCTCCTAACAAACTATAAGTTAGTACTGTGATTAGTTATTATTTTATCGTGAGTTAAATGAGAATAACTACCCGTGATGTACAGTTGTCTGAGCTTCAAACCAACAATAATCGTGTTTTTCCGCAAAATTTTCTTACAATTGTGGGCTAATACTGTAAAACAAGTTAATGATCACCAAAAAACAGCACTCGTCTTACACCCCCCCCCCCAAAAAAAAACTAAATAATAAAAAGCTCATTTGCCTATCAGTATTTATCTTTCCGTCCCTATTATTAGCCAAAGATTTATAATATTGTTTAGTATAATAGTGTGCAATAATAAGGAAACACCACTACAACGCCCCCCCCCAAACGTAATTAACATACGAATACAAAGGCAGAGAAAGTTTGCATAATCTTTTGTAAAAACAGTATTATGACAGTATTACAATCTTACTTTGTTTAGTTCCTTCGTTTTATTATCCCTGAAGATCGTAGCAACTCGAAGTTACGTAAATCCTGAGGTGTGCGTATAATTTTAATGGCCTCGTCATAATCACATACTGATCAAAGTCTTTCTCTGCACTCTCTAAAAATACCCACACAGATTCTTCATCAACTAAATCACTGATTATTTTTTTTATTTGAATTGAGACAGTATATTTAGCCAGAAAAATACATACAGAATGGATAATAATAACAATATTAACATGCTGAGCCAGTTGAGAACCTGAGCTCTCTTTTAGGCACCTGATATATACTATACATTTATCTCAAGGAAGTATTATGTAATTTTAGTATCTGGAATAGTACAATAGCATGGTGGTAATAAGAATAATCTCATAATGTTACCACGGTTATCACTTCAATATTGATGCTGGCAACAGTTCAGTTTCATTATAAGACCAAGTTATGGGCTCACTTTCACTAGCATTCGTTGGGTCAGGCTCACTTTCATCACTATCAAGGTCAATGCATGTCTCACCACTGTCCACTTCTACCTTCTCACAGTCTGTATGCTAAAAATAAGCATCAAAACTAAGGAGGAAGCCGAGGAGCTATGACATAGCAAGGGGAAATCAATTGTGATTGGCTGCCTTGGCGGGTATGGTCCGAGGGAGGTGCGCTGTCATTGGCTCGCGCTCCGCTTGCTCTGAATGGGATGTTGCCACTTTCTTGAACTGAGCGCACAGCCAGATATGTAGCTCCAGGCCCGAAGCAAAATCATACCTTATTTTTTAAGGACTTTCTACCAGATTTCTATTCTAGCTTGAGGGTTACATCCAACGTCAACATGTAGAGGAAGGGTGAAAATAGTAATATCCATCAAAAAACGCATTTCGGCAAGGGTGTCGCTTCACCCCCTTCTGATACCGAGCTCCTCATATATAAACCTGAATTCACACTAACCATCAAAATCACATGGAACATATGTTCAAATATGCGTGTCAATTATCTTTTAAACTTGTAACCAAATTTGGGTACATCATTGTAACATTAACTGTACCCTGGCAGCAACTCTGTTTAAGCAATTGAACATAAGTGTGTTGTATTTCACAATAATATCTCTAATGCAGTTATAGCAACTTCAATGAGCACTGCCATTTATGTTTCCACAAAATGCACATCAAACTAAATAGGATTCATCGACATATGTTTGGTCTTCAAACTTGATTTACCTGTTAGTACTGTAGTGTCATCAATAAATTGATTCGTTTCCTCAACTGACAAAATTATACCAATAGGAAAGTGCACCAACTATTGTGATTATCACGAATGAAATTCCATACACCTGCACTTAAGGCTGCAAGTGCAGTCACTGGATGATGCAGCCAAGTGTGGATTGTATATTCAATCGGACTTTTTCTTCACACATTTTCTCTTTAAATCAATTTAATAGAAAATGCCATTGTGATGGAATACAAAAGCAGAGAAAAAATTTCTTCCACAACCTAGATAATCCTCATGCACAAACAATCTTTATAACTACAGTAATCCCGTGTTTTTCGCCGTTTTTTTTAACGTGGTTTAAAAAAAAAATTAATTTTGCGCCATTTTTTATATTCCCCTGTGCGAAGCGGCAAACAGACACCACCTTTCTCGCCTCAGACACCCGCTGCTCCGAGAAGTCTCAGTACTGTGAACACTACTGTGATTACCTCTTCTGTTTGTCCTCCCACGTGCATTCCACATGGCTCCGGGACGTAAGCCAGCCTTATCAAAGGCAAATATTACTAGCAAAGACTAAAGTGACCAAGAAATCAAGAATAGTGATGACCTTAACAGAAAAAAAAAGTTTTTTTTTGGACAAGCTCAGAGGTGGTATGAGGTATGGCTTGGAATGTGGTGAAGACTGACAGTTCATTTGTGTCTTTTGTCAGAATACAAGTCTTCAAGTGGAGGAATGTGGGTGGAAGAGGACTGTCTGGCTGGCGTGACTGAGTGAGGGCGGGCAGACGCCAGGAGAGGCTGGCAATGCGGGTGTTGCCGAGCTCAGCGAAATATAAATTTCTTTTATTTACTTGTAAATAAACATTTTCTTTGTATATAACTGTGTTTACATCTTTCCAATATCATACTACAATATGATTAGTTTCAAATAATGGTGTTAGTAAATGCCGGTACAGTGCATCAATGATCAGTGTGACCACTGGGCCGTGAGTGGAGGGCATGGTGTGGTTAAGTGCATGACCCAGCGGAGCTGTTTGGTGGCCGCAGGTACAGTGATTCCTAAAGAGAGTATTCGCGGTTTTGGCTTTTCGCGGGGGTTTCAGGAACGTAATTCCCACGAAAAACACGGGATTACTGTATAGTACATTACATTGAAGCATTACCTACAGATCTACTGAACAAGAATGTCAAAATGAACACAGCAACTCCTATTGTCTAGGTAGAATTGTCAAAATCTTTTGTCTGTTGTCATTGTCCCACAAAATCGTGAAGATACTTTTTGGAGCAAGTGTACACACAATAATAATTTAATTTTATGCGAGTTTGTTTAAATATACACTACTGTACAATAATTAATCAGTAGCGTTCATACCTTTATATAATCACTGTATTTACAGAAGATAATCAGTGCTCACTTCTTGAGCAGCTGATGACGAACAAGTACGAAGGGTAGTGCCAGACCAGAACCAAAGAATGCCACAAACAGAACAGTCAAACGGAATCTGTTTTGGATCTGGAAGGGCAGGTTCTGTGGGAGAAAAATACAATGCTGTTGAAATTTCATAATGCACTAAATCTTTAATTAAAAAAAAGGATAGAACTTCCTTTCCTGATATTGGTAAAGATTCATTTTAACTTCCCCCTTCATTTTTTGCAAGGAAATATATTTATTCTGGTGTTTTTTGGAGTGCTTTGTTTAATCTGACCTTCATTTTCTCTGGAAAATCCCCATATATGAGAAAATGTCAAGGACACAGAGGTAACCAACCAAAGAAACTTGCTGAACAAGTAATATTGTTGGTAATTTTTTCGATTAAAATACTCGAATTTTTTTTTAATTTCCGAAGGGTATGCTATAGCAACTCTATTGATTCTGAGTAGTGATGGGGGCTTAACTCAAGACACTATTGATTTCCACCAGAAATGGTCAAATTCTTTCATAACACAAAAAATAAGAAAAATGGGAAAAACATAGTTTCAAAGGCATTATTATCGTTTCGGTCATGCAGGGAATTTTAGGATTTGAAGTTGAACTTGGTTGGGTTGGATTGAAATTATTTTTTTCAGATTTTTTTTTGAACGACTTCCATATAGGTGCAAATCAATATCTTAAAGTTGGTTAACGGTTAAGCTAATGGAGGTTAGAAATGTTAGGTTGGTTATAACTTTATCCGATCTGCAAATATTAATGATTAGCATCACCACCTCGATCAGCTGATACGGTGTAGTATGATTTAACTTTCTGAAGCATTAGTATTTCTATACAATCTAATGTCAACTTACACCACCAGGAACACCGCCATCTCCTCCTCTCCTGATGGCAGAAGTCATAAGGCTCCTGGAAGCGCTGGCGAATCTGTTAGCGAACATTTCTAACGAGCTACCGGTTTCGTCCTCGAAGATAAATGGTGTCCGTGTGCCACAGTCCGTCCCTCTACGGTGTAGTGTACCACCACCATAATTGAGAACCTTTCCCCTTATCGTTATTATTTAATAAAATATAAGTCTTTAACAAAAAATACAATTATATTTGTTTCTTCATGATTTTATTATTAAGTGATTTTTTTTATCTCTACTTTTTTAACTATGCTTATATAGTATTATACTGTGTAATCCTGTAAAGGTGAGTTTCTCCTTTGACTATTCCCTTCAATATTGCCTATGAAAGAAACACACACACAAACAGTGTATATATATATATATATATATATATATATATATATATATATATATATATATATATATATATATATATATATATATATATATATATATATATTACAGTCGAAGTGTGTAATCAGCCATTTCGTGTAATGACTAGTCAACTTGTGTAATGTAAACAATTTTAATCTAATTTAATCTAGCAAAAACCAATTGTATACAATCTTTATCAAGCCTAGCCTAACATAACTTAACTGAACATTAGATTAATTTAGTCGTGATCAGGTTAGAATAGGTTAGGTTAGGCGAGGTAGATTTCATTAGGATACCTAACTTAACCAAACCAAAACTGGTTTTGCCTAACCTAACCAATCTAATGTTAGGATGAGTTAGGCTAGGTTTGGTGAGGTCTTAATAGGATGAAATGGGTTTGGATAGGTTAAAATTAGATTAAGTTATTTTACATTACACAAGATGACTAGTCATTTCACGAAATGACTAATTACACACTTTGTAATATACTGTATATATACTGTGTGTGTCTGATGCGTTTAGCCCTTCGCCTCAGAGAAGAAAATAATAAGGATCATTCAAGGAAAATTGGGATAAATTTCCCTCAACTCTAGGGACATATTGACTTTGACAATCCCGCTTTTTAATATAATTTTTCTTATTTTGATTTTTTGGGGTCATTTTTATTTGCATGCCCGCTTACTTATTCCAGTTCGAAAAATCCATTGAGCTCCTCAGGTAAGGAGCGAGATTGGCGGTTTTCACACCAATTTTTGCTAGTTTTGAGGCGGGTTGGCGATTTCCGGGGGCGTTATTTTTTTTATTTTACTCTCTTAGCCACTGATCGGTCTGTTGGCCGGTCGATTACGTCTGTTACGCACTGTTGACAAGGTAATGGGCAAAGATACAGTATATAGTGTTTGGTAGTGGGCATGTACTGGTTCCAAAATGTATCTGTACCTGCGCCAGTGTTGGTCAAGTAACTTGAATGAGCACACACTTCATACTCTTATCCTCTTCGCCACTGATCGGCTGTTTAGCCGCTTGGGCGGTCGGTCACTGCTCACTATTGGCAAGTACTGCTCATGCACTGGCTCCTGAAATTCCTGAATGTATCTATCCTTGCAATAGTGTTGCTGCACACTCTCTGGCAGGTTGTTCCAATAGTTTACATTTCTCACTCCGAAAAAGTTTGCCCTGACAATTTCCTAACTTGTGGCTTCTTCAACTTGTGCTGTGACCCCTAGTGGGGAGGCCAATCTCTTACTTTTCTTATCCTCTTCGTCACTCATCGGCTCGTTAGCCGCTTGCGCGGCTGTTCACATCTCTGATTAACACTGTTGGCAGATAATGGGCATGCACTGGGTCCTGAAGATATTGGAACCTGTTCCAGTATTGGTTAAGTCTGGCCTTGAATGAGCTCACACTCGGCGCCGTCACAGCATCCTCTGGTAGGCTGTTCCAAGAGTTCACAACTGTCACTCCGAAAAAATTTGCCTCCACGTTTTTCTGGACCCCTTGTGAGGTGGACGTCAGCCAGCTCCAGGTATGTACGTCCACTCGACCGAGTAGTACCCAAGCGGCTAAGGAGCCTGTCAGTGGCGAAGAGAGTAAAGTAAAAAAGTAAAGACAAATTGTGCCTTTAATCACCACACACTTCTTATGGGGGTCACGAAAAAAGTCTCCCATACACGCTAGGCCACTCATTACTTTTATTAGTAGTAGTAGTATTTAATATTATTTTTTATTATTATTATTATTATAAATGAAATATTGCCATTACTATCATAATCACAGGTGCTACTAATTGTGACAATTTTAATTGTTGATGGAATAGTGTGATCACTAACTTTATTATAGCGTTTAAAGACCTTAAGTGATGAAACGATGTAATAAAATTTTAACGTCAACGACAACGACTAAACAAAGGGTATACCAGGTAGTTTAAAATAACGATAATTAACTTGTCTCTTATGGTAAACATTACATTGTGGTGTAAACAAGATCAGTACAGTCTAATCTATCAGCAGCTTTTACTATATATCTTAAGAATATTTATGTGAGAAAGATATAAGTGAACTATTTCTTTTTATTTTAAAATATTTGTACAGACATATTTATAATTACCCATTTTTCTAAATTTATATGGCCTTTCAAGTTACTTATTAATTGGACGAGTGTCATGCTGGAAACATCTGTGAGTCTGTTGTGAGAATGTGACAGGTGAGATCACTTTCGGGTAGCAGGTATGCATTTATGAAGCTATTGCGTTATTTCTACATCATTTAGAGCGTTATTTGTACAATAATGATGACGTCTACTTTACTGTGATCCTTGCATGTTAATACTCACACTAGTATCTGGTTTAAATTACAGGTTTGAGAAGTTTAAGTTTATGAATATTTAAGGTAAATATTCGTCCATTGGCTGTTCTCGGGTTTTGGTATGAGAATATGTTTTTTTTTTATGTTTTCCAGTGTAGTTTTGACCTTAATTTTTTGTGAAAATTCGCGGTTTTGGGAAAAAAATATATAATTTTTAACAGAAACATAATTTGCACAAAAATGGAGGTTGTTTGTTGATTTTATTTATTTTTGGTATTCTTATTGTTTTGGTGATTTTAAGTACAGTATATTAAAAGAAACGACAATTTTCTATTATGATTTTAAATATTTTATTATTTTTTTTTTATTTACTCTATCCCTCTCCACAATCCTCTTCCCGGCGCCACTTTTGTTGTTTTTCTCGCTGAATCCCTCTTCAAGAGACGTTTCTTATAAATGATGGTCAACGTTTCCACGAATTCCTCCTCGCCATTGCTGATGTATATCAACGTCAATATTAAAGTAAGTAGTTTAACACATAAATTAACACGATAATGCACAGAACCTAATAAAACCTGACCTAACATACCCAATCTATGGGTATGTTAGGTCAGGTTCTATTAGGTTCTATGTATTGTTTCCATTTCTGTTTTTATTAGCATGCTATTATTGTGTAGGAAAAAATTCAACCAAATCAATAAACAACGTCTGGTGCTAGCGCTAAACCACACCTTTACCTTTAGAATAATCAGCCGTAGTTATTGACGACTTTACAGCCGTTAATTTTCATAGATAACGGATTTAAAAAAGGCGCAATTTCACTGCTTTATAGTGGACACTCGTAAGTATGGCAAATGGGTAAAATTGTCGTTTCTGTCATCCACCTATTTGGAAATTGAAATTCTGTTTTTTAAATGGTTTTTGGGGGAGCTGGTGGTAGAGCGGTACCGTTCTTGCCTCGCAAGCAAGATGTCACGGGATCGATTCCCGGGCCGGCGGAAATTGTTTGGACACTCTTCCTAGTCCCCTTTGTCCCTGCTCACCTAGCAGCAAAGTAGGTACCTGCTGTAAGTCGAAAGTTGCGATTTCATATTCAGGGACAAGTTGTTGGAGCTTCCAATAACTTGCTTAGACATAAACCATTGACTCTTCAGGCTTCTACGCCCTTAACTCGTGAGACATAAGGCAAGCATGAACTTAGCATGCTTCCCTGTTGGGCGCTATAAACGCTTCTGCGCTTCACCTTATACAAGGATGTAGGGGGGGTGCCCAATAAAAAAAAAAAATGGTTTTTGATGTGTTTTGAACGAATCTATGTAAATATTTAGTAGTTACCACCACCTAATAGACTTGAAAATGAGGTTTTATTGTGTAAATCATTGTGTTAAATACAAATATGACCTTCATTGCCGTCGGAAATGAGTAGTAGTTGAGATATTGAAAATTAAAAGTGGGTTATTATTTGGTTTAGCACATCTGCAAATCACATAGAGGCACTTACTTTTAGGCAGTTTCTACCTTATGTGTACATTCCTCAACCCTTGAAGCCTCTTAGAAATGTGTTTCTTTCAGAAAAATCGCACAAGTTAGGAACGCCCAAATGTATAAACATCCCAACGCAGCACATTAACGTAAGTAAAAATAACGCGTTTTCTACTCTGCTGGGGTTAGGGCTTCCCGCAGGGGTTTGGTTAGGTTAAGGTAGGTTAATTTAGTGAAAATTAGGGGTCTAGATGTTTGGTTTCTGGTGTATTTGTATGTATTTTGTTCAGATCTCACCTTTGTTTTGGATGTAAAATAGCCGTTTTTGATCAAAGGATGACTTGAACAACGCATTCCCATGGAAACGAAGATCAGATCTGAACAAAACACATCAAAATACATCAGAAATCAAACCTCTCGTGAAAAAATTCGAGGGTGTGCTAAAACAAATAATTACCAATATGTGGAAGGTCAAACAATGTAAAAACCTCAAAGATCTAAAAAAAAAAAAAAAACTAACCTAACTGAACCAAGCCAAACCAAACTTAACCACTAGTGTGTAAGAAACTTACCTTAAGTGAGAGATACAGGAGGATAGAGTGATGTGACTTGGATGAGGAAGTGGTGTCTCCGTCTGTGACCATCTCTTACCACAGTACCATGCAGGGTGATCTACACGGTACTAACACTCTGAATTACATCTTGGACACTTTACAGATGAAACAAGAACACCGTGATCCCTAAAAATGACAACAGCTGCTGCTTCACTGTCCAATATGCGCTGAATAATGCGCCAGTCAGCCAATGTACTGTACATCCATCTCACACAGATGCCATCTTCCATCTGGCCACGAATGGAGACTTGTGCTGATTAGCGCAAGACTATGATGTCCCTTCAACACTTAACGCTGATTGGCCAAACATTATAAAATAAAAGTTAAAATAACTCCCCATATATGACTCACTATTCAGTTAGCTGGTGGCAACTGCTAAATATTAACCCGAATCTGACCTACATTTCTACCGCAAAATCACTACTTTTTGAGCTAAGCCCCCCTTATCCAACGATAATGGGAGACCAGGGGTTTTGGGTGGGGGAAAATTACAAAGAGTAGTAATTTTTTATAGAAATGAAGGTCAGAGTCATCCAAAACCTAATCTAACCTAACCCTAAACCTAACCCAAACCTAACCTTTCCACCTGTGTGCTTACCTTAATTAGACTCAGAAGACTCCGAGTTGGGGTCATCGGGGTCGTCCTCCTCGTCATCCACAGGTGTACCAAAGGTATTTTTCAGCTTTGTATCTACAGTATAAGGATGGTTACACTTCGCGCAAGTAACCTCCGTAGGTACCGGTAAACACCGTGTTCGTGTAGAAATTTCCATGCTTCTCCGTCTTTACCTTAATAATTTATGTGAAATCTGGCTATGATTTGGAAGTACGGTACTGTACAGTAAATCATATCACAGCCATTGCACAAGCTAGACATCTTAGAATTAATTCAAATTCAAGCTGGTAGCGGCGAGGGCCTATACCGAGCTGTAATTGGTTGATCCAAAATCATACCCACCAATCAATGCCCAAAGAACAATTGGTCATGTGTCAGACTCTAGTACATGCGTAATGCAGCATAGTAACCAACAAACAAACACACAGGAGATATCTTGGATGGTGGTAATATAAACAAGAACTTAGAAAAAATACAACGACTTCCAACAATTTATTGCGATTTTCTTGGAAAGTAATCATTTGTGGAAGAATTGCTACTGAAGAAACGAGTCTTCGAATTGTCTAAACTACTGATTCCAAAACTTAAAATACTAAAATTCGTTGGATGACTGTAATGATCATACACCTACAGGTAATACCTGTACTGGCAAATGTGTTAAAAACTGTTTATTTAAAATTTTAATCTAACCTAACCTTAAACTAACCGGTAATTATTTATGACTACACAGCCGCTGATTTTTCATGGAAAACGAATTTAAAAACGCTGCCATTTCACTGTGTTTTATAGTGGACACTGTCGTAGTTATGTCAAATGTGTTAAAAAGTGTTTTATTTAAAAGTTAAAGCTAATTTATCCTAACCTAATCTAACTTAACCTAACCTTCACCTAACCTTAACCAACCTAACCTAACTTAGCATAACTTAACATCTGCCATGGGCGAACTTACTGTTACTGAGATGGAGGAAGTGGCTGTGAAGTCCTTCATATTGGCCAATTAACCTAACCTAACCTAATTTAACTGGCTAATATTGACAACTATACCGTAAACAGCAAAACAAATAACGTATCGGCGGTATATTCATTAGCATTAGCCGAATCTGCTATTTTACGAAAAGTCTCTACAGAAGAAACTGTAATTACTGGTGTAATTTTGTTTTTTGTGGACGTCAGAGGAGCCACCTGTACTGAATGGCTTATAAGCATACACTGAGCATCGGCATTGATCCAACTCACAGCAGTGGTGTGTTTTGAAAAGCATCAATATAATTGGCTGTTTACATCCTAGGGTGAGACATCACCGCCACTTTACCGCTGAGAAGACAAAGTAGTACGCGCCTAGGTACCAAATTATCTACCAAACGAAGCATTTGCACAAGAAATGATTATATCAGAACTCACCAATGGAAACATAGTAAGAATTTTTTTTTGTAATCTTAATAATTATTCTGCAAACACCAACATACAGTTTTAGCATGAAAAGGGTAATGTCTGAGAACAGCACGACCACCAGAAGGAGTTGTTTGATTTTGTTCATTTTTTCCAGATGTTCTTATCTAATATTATAGTACAGTAAGTATTTTAAAAGAGGTGACATTTACTAGAACCTAAGAGAACCTGACCTAACCAACCAAAGAAACCTACTTAAACTTACCTAACTTTTTAGCTGGGGCACCCCCTGCCATATTAGGCAGAAGCACTTATCTTGATATATGGTACCAATGATAGTGGGTCTGTTTTAACAAACTGAGCAGACAACAACATGCGCTGACCAGGCTAGTTTTTCGGAGGAGAATTTACAGTAAATAATCATTTTCTTCCCATACAAAGCATGTAGAGACATCATTTTAGTGTCATATGATTGCTTTTTCACTGTGTTTTACCCTGCAATTTCCCTCATCCTTCATGCCCTCACTACTATAGGTGATTTATGATTGTAGATAGAGAAAAAAAACATATCATTTAAATACAAAGTTGTTGTCTCTTCTAAAATACTTACTATAATGATAAGAATACAGTATCTGTATAAAAAATTAATAAAATTTAGCAATTCCTTCGGGTGGTAGTACTGTTCTCAGAAATAACCGTGAAAAACCGCGTAAAACGAAAACCTAACGTCAGGTTAGGTTAGGTTAGAAAAAATAAAGGTTTAACATTTACCTAATGTTAGGTTAGGAAAAATCAAGGGTTTAACACTTACGTAAGGTTAGGTTAGGAAAAATAAAGGTTAGGTTAGGAAAAATAAAGTTTAGGTTTAACACTTACGTTAGTACAAGAGATGGGTCGGCATACGGGGATGGAGGCTGGTTCCGAGGCAGAGGGCAGATTACTGTCCCTCAGGTGAATCACCATCACTATCCACCATAGTTGTCAGGGCCTCCCTGACAAATCCCTCAAAGTCACCTTCACTGTCACTGGCTCGGGCTGGCTGTGGTGGGTTGCGGGCGAAGAACTCGGTAATGCTTTTTTGACGGCTAGTGTTGATGTTGTCTTGATACACCTTGATGTATGGCTCCATGGCCTGCACCAGCCGGGTATGGAAAACTTCATAGCGGTCATCGTCATGGTCGTTGGAAAGGAAGAGCTTCAGTTTTTCTGCACACTCGATGGCACCCTTAACATTACTATGCGTTAACTTGTGTTCTTCTGGGGGTGATGCACCATCTGCCTCTTCACTGACATGATCATCTTCCAACATCTCGTCGGCAGTCATTTCAGGATCTCTGATCACTTCCAGGATGTCTTCGTTGGTGGTCTCAGAGAAGCCTTCAGCTGTAATACTGTGCACAGCTTCTCTTGCAAGGTCCAATGCCACTGTAACAGACTGAACCTCACCAGTCACAGGTTGACTCCGCCTCTCACCTGGGATACCATGCAACACATGCCTCCATGCGTGACGAATCGTAGCTACAGATAGCTGATCCCATGCCTCCACCAAGAAGTCCACAGCTTGTTTGACGTTAAATTTTTTCCAAAACTGTTTGACGAGAACTTCTTGATTCACCACCTGTTGTTCCTTGTCCTCGTCCTCGTCGCTTTTGCTCTCGCTATCGGTGTCAACCAGCTTACGCAACTCATCCTTGGTGTTGGTACAGTCGTTCAGGAGCTTAAACTTCTTTGCAGAGTATGCATCTTTCACATTGCATATCAACTCCTGGTCCATGGGCTGGATTAATGACGTAGTGTTGGGAGGAAGGAAAATCACTTTTACGTTGGGGTGACGATCCATAAGTAGTGGCGAGTGTCTTGGTGCGTTGTCAAGGAGCAATAGAATGTTGAATGGAACATTCTGTTTCTCGCAGAATTTCTTCATGTCGGGAACGAAACAGTCATCAAACCAGCAGAGTGACAGAGCAGAGAACATCCACGCCTTACGTGCGGTCAGCCAGTGGACGTTAATCTTGCTCATGTTCACGTTCTTGTAGGCGTGCGGCTTGCGGGCTGTGTGAATCAACGATAACTTGAGTTTACAGGTACCGGAGGCATTGGTGGTAAAGAGGACGGTGATGCGCTACTTCTGCAACTTCCGGCCCTGAATCTTGCTGGCAGACTGGACAACGAAGGTCTTGGTAAGCAGCTTTTTCAAAATAGACCTGATTCGTCCATGTTGGACACCTGGTCGTCCTTCCTCCATAACCTCACGTAAGAACGGAGGAAAATCTCTAGCCGCCACACGGTCAGCACTCGCTTCTTCACCACCAATGTTGATGTTGTTGATCTTGTTTCTCTTCTTAAACCCTTGCAGCCAACCAGAGGAAGCATGGAAGGGTTTGGGCTCTGCAATTCCCATCTTACGTGACACTGCTGCGTACAGTTCACGGGCGTACCCTTGAACGGATCACGTGTCCACCGCCATGTTGCATCGCACCTCACGAATCAAGTAACTCACAGCAAATTTTCAACCTTTAGCAGCACCTTGTTCTGGCAATACTTGATCATTGAAGCACATGCAGACTTTGTGATTCTCATGTGTTCGTTGACCTTGGCTGCATCCTTCTTAATAGTACGAATCGTAGATTCGTTGACTCCATGCTGGACCGCGAGATCAGCTTGACGTGTTCCTGTCTCCAACTCTTGAATGATCTTGTATTTTACTTCGTAGCTTAGGGAACGTCTTATCTTCTTTGGCTTAGGGCGGCTGGGTCCAGGTAATTCAAGGTTTTTCTCTGGGGGCGATGGTCCGGCGGAAGCCATTTTACAGAACAATGGATACTGGTTTATATGGTGTGGCCTGGAGGGATGCAACTGACGCGGCTACGTCAAGCGTCGTCTTTCCTCCCTCCCGCGGGTGGGCACGTCATTTTACTTTAAACCAATCACAGCTAGCGGCGGAGGGAGGTAAGGATGCGTGGCCCAATCACAGTCCGATATGACGTCACCGATAACGCAACAGAGACATCCACTGCGCAACTTACCCGCGCGGCTTGCCCAAGCGGGAGAAGGCGGGAGCATCGAATCTAAAAATAGCATCGCGCCAGACACTACGCGTATGTGAGTGGATGCACTGCGTAAAATGAAAGTCCGGTTCTGGCGAGGTACCGCGTAAATGTAGATTCGCGTAAAGCGAAGCCGTGTAAAGCGGGGTACGTGTATATATATATGACACACAGAGTCATGCGCCGGTTAACAAAGTCCGATCGCATATACGTCTGCCCCCCTCCACCCAAAAAAATCTGTGACGCCTGCTGGACCACCACTCCACGACCCCTTGACGGAGACACGATCCTTCCCATACTGGTCAGATATTATGTGTTAAAGGAATATGCTTCCTTGATTAGGCTTTTTTTTAAATATTTGCATGCAGGTGTAATGTTAACCTACATCTATTGAGGATAAAATCTTTCACCTACAAATTGACAATAACACATTTGCTGTAATCAGACATATCTAGTTGCCTCAACAATTGCAACCCCAGCTGCAATTGGGGTTGCAATTTCAAATTCTTTGGCATTACTAAAAATAACTAAGTCTCTGGTGCACTCTAAGATTAAGAGAGAAAACGGAGGACTCAGGCGTCCTGATGTGAGAGAAAACGGACTCGTATGATGGGGGACCAAATAAAAAAAGCATAGCTACATGTTTTGTGGACTACAGTATTAAGCGTACCCTTTTCATCACTTTGTAATAATGTGTGTTTATGATATTTACCATAACATTATATTTATATATATATATATATATATATATATATATATATATATATATATATATATATATATATATATATATATATATATATATATATATATATATATATATATATATATATATATATATAGTGGGTATAAATGGTCGTAAAATGGGAAACTTGGGGTTAGCTCTTGGGTGTCTGGAACCAATTATAATAAATCCCATAGGTTCTGTACTTTCGTTATCGGCGGGCTCCCAATTAGGCGCGATAACCAAGGGATGACTGTACTGTACTGTACAGTGGGGTATGCTATAACGAATCTAATTGGTTCTAGAACCTTGTTCGTTATAGCATTCGTTCGTTATAGGATTAATCCGTTCCAGGCCCCCAAATACAACCACTTAACACTGAAAAATATAATATAAAATTGTAAAAATTGTAAAAAAGTGCATAAATATGCATCTGAACCCCTGAAATAAAGAATATCATTAACATTTGTAATAAAAAAACAATAAATTAAAAAAAAAATAAATAAATAAATTAAATAATGTTCGTTGTAGGAGTTTCGTTCGTTATAGCATTCTCAATTTTATAGGTAAAACCGTTCTTTATAGGAATATTCGTAGTAGGATCCGTTCGTTATAGCATACCCCACTGTATATACTTGTGACTGGCCAGTTGCTTCTGGTGTTATGGTACAGGGGTACCAAGTGACAGCACTAGGATCTCGCTTCCTCTATCAAGGAATAAACAATTAAAATTTAAATTAAAAATAAATAACATTCAAATAATGGGACCTAGTGAACCTAAATAGACCTAGAGCGGGCACAGTCATGTATGCATCGCGTATTCTTATAGATTGTGCGGCCAGGCGTACGTTATCTAGTGAATTTAGTCAATATTGTACAATAACAATGGACCTAAGTGCAAACCTGTATTGTACATGTACTAAATGATTACGGTACTAAAATTGTTATGTCTATGGCAAATATAGCTTGGTTATACAGGTATTCAAATAAATTACTTTCTTACAAGAATCCCTCCAATGTAAGTTATATTCACCCAGTTCGTTTGGGTGGCAAATTATGAGAAGAGCTTAGTCACTCTTAAGTAATGATAAATAAACACGCAGGCAGGCCTTCAGCGCTAACTGTCAAATCTTATCTCAAATAAATAAACAAAGAAATGCCAGACATTCTGTCACCTCCCCCCCCCCCCGTCTTCCCACCCTCCTTGTGTTCCAAGATAAAAGGTTGGTGATTTCTATATGTTTATTTTATATAATATCTCAGACTAAAGTTAGTTATAATATAAATGTTTTCTCTATATTTTTTGGGTAGATTTACATAAATTTCTTCATTTTTTTTCATTCATTTACATGCACACACCATACTAAAAGAAACGTAAAAGAAACAAATGACCTTAGTGCAAAGCTGGAGTGCACATGTACTAATTTGATTACAGTACTAAAATTGTTATGTCTAGTGCAAATTATAGCATGTTTATATTCAAATTAATCAGTATCTTACAAGAATCCCAACAATGTTAATTATATTCACCCAGGTCATGTCACTGGCTTTTGATAAGAGAGAAGCTTAGTCACTTAAGAACTGATAAATATACAGGTACACGCGTTAGACCTTGGGCCGGTGCCAACTGTCAAACGCACTACCTCCCCTCCCCCCACGCCCCCTCACTCGCTCCCTCCCTCCCTCTCCCCCAACTGCCCAGCGTTGCTGGAATCCTTGTAAAACAGTGAATAATTTTAATATAAACGTCATGTATTTTGCACAAGAGATAGAAATTAATCACCTGTATCACATTTCAGTAGTGATTTAAGAGTAAAAGTGTATATGTACGTATATAGTATTCCACATACACGTAAGTATAAATGAAAAGTTTATGTGATGATCGGACAACGTCCATTTCGGTTAACGTCACGTTTCCAAGAACTTATCTAGGACGTTAACTGGCGCATGACTGTATATAATTTTTTTTTTTTTTTTACCACCACTTATCAGCTTATTATCCATTCGGGCAGTTGGTCTATCCACTCTTACTACAAGAAGAAACCGGAGCACCCATATGTAACCTATGATGTTTGGTAGGATCACACTGGATAACACCTTTCTCACATATGTCCAGGTCAAGCAGGACTTGAACTCTTGACGTATTCAAAAAGAGATATGCATGTTCATGTTGTAACATACTGAGTTATGACCCTTCCTACCCAGTCAATCTTGACCCCACCAAAAGTGAGCAGGGCTTCGAAGCAAAGGGAAAATGTAGAATTAAAACCATAATTAATAGAACCTAACATAACCTAACCTAATCTGGTCTTTGTACTCACCTACTCGGTAATTATTGTACTGTACAGTAATAGCCAAAAACTTGATACTGTAATAGCTTACAACAGCACTTGTTAGATTGAGCAACTGTAGGAAAAATTTGTAGAAGAAAACTTGTTTCTTAGCTCTTAGATATTGGACTGAATATTATGAGTCCCTTAAGATTCATATTACTGTACAGTATATATTGCCAAACTGTGTACTGTACTGTATTGTATATGCATGTGTAAAACTGTTTAGCTTATGTTAGGATAGGTTAGGTTAATTCAAGTAAGTTAAGTTAGGACAGGTTATGTTTTGTTTGAGTAAATTTACCATTTGGCATTAATGGCACTACTGTATTTAGTTTTCAAAATTTTTATGAATATAAACATTGTATTTTTTAATACAGTGCTGTCTTGTACCTGTATAAGTATTTGTTATACATAATGAATCAACTTTAATCCTAAGTACTGTACAGTTTTTTTATCCTTCATCTTAAAATGTCTCCACTGTACATATTTTCTCTTCCTAAGTGTCATGTAGAGGAATTTATTCTCCTCATTTGCATTATTAAATAGAATGTGATTTGAATCCAGAGATAAAGTAGAAAAGTCTTACCAGAGCTCATATATTACAGAGCAACATACTTTTATGTGTATATTAAGTACTGTATATTGTAATGCAATCATCACCGTCATCATTGTAAATTTAGTTCCTAGCCAAAATATGAAAATTATAAAGTATTTTAAACCTCCTTCCAGCTTGGTGTGGGTTAATCTTTTTTAATATTTATTAGAAGTAAACATACTTAAGAATTACCAATACAGTATAGCTATTCTTTTATTAACAAGAAAAACTGATGTGCTGTATTTACTGTTGTTGCACTAGAGTTGAAAAGAAATACAGCAGCAGAATCATAGAAGAGCAGAGGTTATGGGCAACACCACTGTTAAAGATGCTGTCGAGGGGTCAGAAGGCAACCGTAGCCTGGATCTGTCTTGTAAACTTACTCCTAGTCAGTATATAAAGGTGAGTCATACCTGGTCCACTGACTGAAAAATTTCTGTGGTTACTTTGATGTTCTTCAATTTACATTTGTGTACAATATACAGTATATTAGTTTATGGTATGAATGTAAATTACATATGGGAATCTTATACAGTACAATATTATGCTAGTGAGTGTGCATATACTGTACAGTACTGTGTTCATTCTTACTGATGCGTGTTTTACTATGATAGTACCCTCCCCCCAAAAGCCCCAAGCCTTGTTTAATCTCTATATACAGTACATTATATGCATGATGTACTGCAGGATGTTTCCTAGCTTTTGATATTTGCACCAATAAATTTTTTTCATAATAAGCATTAATATCATTTTATGTATGTCACTACTTGTGCTACTGACTTTTTCCAGCATACATCTGGAGAGTTTATTGAAGGTTGTTTGTCTGCTCTTCCATGGGAGGTGTATTTCAATGTCTCCTTGTACGAGAATGTTAATGCAAGTTTTAATTTCATCAATGAGGTGAGTAGCTGGATTTAGAATCTTAGTTTCTCAGAATCACTATTTGAAATATGGTATGCTGTAATTCATCATGTAATTACAGTACAGTATTCTAAAACACTTTTCAGGTGCTTTTCATCCGTTGTTTATTTATAATTACAATATGCAGGAGCCCCCCCCCAAGTTCGTGCATTTTTACTTGGCTGTTCTCGGTTATTCGCGGATGACACCTTGGATATACCCGAGAATGTCTGTGGGTAGTTTTAAATTTGCTGACATTTTTGCGGCTGGGCAGGGAGCCATTCGCTCTAGAGACAGTAATTTCCTTTACCAATACTGTATTGTAAATATGTATGTGTGTGTGTCTACACACACACACACACACACAAATATACAATACTACAGGTAAAAGAAATGATTGTTCTTAGGGCAAACACATAAAGGGAATATACATTTCTTTGTACACAGATAAAAATTTAACACCCCCCCATCCGCAAATGTTATTTGCGGATTTGGCGATTCATGGCCATTTTGAGAACCTAACCCCCGTGAATTGGGGGGGGGGGCCTGTACTGTACTCTCAATAATTCAGGGTTAATCATGTTTTCTTTTTTTTTCTTTTTTAATATACAGTATTGACAAAAACATATTAATATGAATTACTTTTTAAAAATTTTCAGTGTTGGCTCAAATACTGTAGACACTTTAATTTTATATGCTTCAATTGGTGCAGGCAAGTCAATCACTGACATTACATAATCACTGGCCAACATTTTCAATGACTAACTTCCATTTTACAATTTACCCTATATTTCTTACCACGGGAAACAGTGTCAGCTCATTAAGTTCAGTCCACAGACCTAAGCCCAGATTACCATGTTGATCTCATGATTTACCTTACCTTGTGTGTGACCGAGAAAGTAATGGTGGTTGCTCTTATCATCTAGGATTAACAGATAATATTCAAGTATGACATAATATTTTATATCCAAGGAATATACAGTGCTGTACTCTTATTTCAGCGAAGCTTTCATTAGAATTCCATGTATTCTGCCGAGTGGACATGATTTCACTACCTGTACTTTGAGCTGTAGGGACCCGGAACCCAGTATTCTTGAATCTTTCACATTGACGATCACATCTGTTGCAAGCAAATTATATATTCTCTATCACTAACGTCATATATCATGAGCCAGTCTTTTGTATGATTACCCAGTATAGTATATTCTTCATCTGGATACATTTTCAAATGCTGCACTTAAAAATAAAATTCAACAAGTACTGTAATATTATTTTCATGTCTCGGTTTTCTTCTCGTTGGTTATAACTAAACCTACTTGTATCTTTACAAAATATTATCTTGTAATTCTGTGCTCTAAAGCCCAATTCCCCTGTAAAATATATAACAAGAATTTCAAGAATTTTTTGAAAATGGATAGTGTTTTAAATCCATATTTCTAGGGCTCAATGGTATCCATCAATCATTTTCTTAAAATGGTTGTAGAATTTGATACACACAATGCAGATGAGGATGAATTGTGTATAGTTGGAATGTACAGGTACTATAATATTATAAAGAAAATAATTATGGTATAGATAGATAGATAGAATCCCTCTAATCACAATTTTACTTTATAATCCAGATTCCAGTGGAGCTCAGTATTCATGTACCTCATTTGCGGAGTCTTAATGTGAGTCACAACCAGATCTGTGATCTCCCAACATCCTTCAATCTACTTCTTCATCTACGAGTGTTAGACCTGTCATACAATAAGTTGAAAATGTTACCTGCTGCTCTTACCCGCTTGCCACAGCTTCACACCCTCAATGTGGCAAATAACTATCTAAAGGAACTTCCAACAACAGTTTCAAAACTTCAGAATGTGAGTATAGTATGTGTCTGTGGAAGTTTATTGTGTTAGGTTTTTATATGAGTAGTGTACTGTACTGTAAGGCTTTAATTTTTTTGCTACAAGATACATGACCACAACTTCCCTTCATAGTAGTGTCAGTGTCTGTTTTCCCTCTATCTCCTGTTTCATCTTTTTTATTCTCTTCTTATACTATTCTTCAATACTTATATGCTTGAATTCTTTATATCTATATTTTCTATTAATCTTTTCTGGTGTATATAGTTTAATAATTTCATATTCTATGTCTTTCTCTCTCTAAATATATATCTTATATTTCTTTACTTATATTTTCTAAGTCAATATTCTTTTCTTTACTTCAATTCTTCTTTCAGATATATTATTGTATTTTCTGAATTTCATGTCCTTACTTTCTCCCAATTATATCCTGTTCTAGTTATGTATATTCTAAACCATGGATTAGTCCGGGAAACCATGTCATTCTTGCTATAACACTTTTTGTACTTACAACGGTAGCCTGCCACCACCCAGACTTTTATAAGAATATAACATATCTTAGTGAACTGTTAGGTAGCGTGCTAGCGAGCGTCTAGGCACGTTAGTTACAATAGTTATTTTCTGAGAACCAATGGGTAGAAGGAATAGAGCGGTGATACTCGTAGTTTACTAATTTAATATTTCTTAACATAAGAAGTGAACAAGATATTAATTAAGTTCACTCAGACAAGATTGGTCCACTTAAGTCTTACTTTACCATTCATAAAATATATCTTCAATTAGTTATTACATCATTAAACACCTGTTGTATTATTTCTTTGACAATTAAGATGGTTATTTGACACGCTCAGATAGGACTGGACCCTCAGGTCTGCTTTTACAAGTAGCAAAATAAATCTTCAGTTCTTGGTTACAACATTAAACAATCATCATATTATTTCATTGTCAATACAGATGGTTCTATGACACACTTGACAATATCCCAAATTAACTTATAACATCAGGTTATTTCGGAATGAACAACATGGCACTTTTCTTTCAGTTGATGTACTCAACTCACATAACATATTTACTGGTACTATCAATATTTATGGGTTCACTACTCAATATGGGATAACTATATTTCTGCTAATTATCCCCAATCACATGCAACAATAATACTTTGGCCCATATAACTGTAAGGAGGGCCCCAGGGTTGTCACACTGGTGTCACCACAACAAACGAAGAACGCTGTTAGGGTTGGTTGTATTTCGACACTGCGGGGGGAGTTTGGGCCTAGTTCCCAGGGTGCGGACTCGCACAATTTAATCGTGCCCAATGAACGACATCCTGCAAGGTAGCCAGCTGGTGTGCAGCTACCGGTCCCCCGGTGACTGTTGGGTATTCAGCTAACACACACACTGTGCCTGAGGTAATGATGGAGCAGCGTCAGAGATGTCAAAAATAACTCAATCACAAACAATCTTTTGTCTAGCAACGACAGGCGATATCTACGTTACATTTATTCTTTCACTGGGTAAATGACAATTTCATTATTACAACATGAACACTGATATTCACAAAATTCACTAAGTTAAACTGACTTAATATGGCAGGCGGAGAATCATACACATACCTGAGATAATGATGGAGCAGCGTCAGAGATGTGACACTACTCCTCGCGCACGAGCTTATATATGGCTAACTGGCAACTCAGGCCTGTGCGGAACACATGCCAGAAAGGCTAATCCCGCATCGACAGAAATTATTACATTCAACTCAGTTGCTGTACATTTAACTATGAAACTCAATGCCACGGGTCAGGCGAATTTCCTACGTCTATTCATATAATCTAATCAGAGATTGAGCTTGCCAGGAAAAAGTGGAATCACACACGTTGTTTACATTAGTTTTACAAACTCAGCACGGCTGCGAACAAGGAACTATTCACAGGGATACGTTAGATTTTGAAGATTATACAGGTTGACAGAATAGTTCAGGAGATTAATGGCTTTCTTAAATAGATAACTGACACTAACTAAACTACATTGGGCAACAAATTAATCTAACTTCAGTAGCAATTGGAAATTCATGGCTATCCCCAGGGACAATATCATGGGATGCCATTCGTACTGGCAAACTCGACACTCACTTACTTAACAAGTGTTACTAATAATAAAGACAGTTAAAGCTTTCAACATCACTCACAAAGGATCTTGTATGCTTTAACTGTAATCAGACATCTCTAAGTTGACTCAAAACAATGGTGTTCTCTCTAACATTCAGATTCACTTTATAGAGAGGTTGGTTTCAGGAAGTCAGAGAAAATGGACGGCACCTAAGCTTGGGAGCGATGAGAAAACGGATGCCTCAGATGGGAGACTCAATAAAGAAGGCATAGCTACATGTCTTGTGGACTATTGAGCGTAATATGAATCGTCTGATTTTACGTTAACCTACGTGTACGACCGTGGTCATTACAGTAGTACCTTCTCCAAATACATTAAATTATATAGCTACAGTATGTACAGTATAGTACAGGCAGACCTCAGTTTATGAGGTGTTGATTTACAAAAAGTCGAAGTTAAAAGAAAAACAGTTTGTCCCATACAGTACTGTACTTTGATTTATGAGAAAAAACCCCAAATTTACAAAAAGAGTATGCATTAGTAAAAATAAAAATATGCTCAAATAAGGCCATTTTGTTACTAGTACAGTACCATACTACTGTATATATGCTTACTTATTTTCTTAATAAATTTGTTATTTTCATTGTCATACTGTACTGCAGTTATGTTGCAAATAGTGTAACCAATTATAGTTTTGGTGATTATTTGAAATTCTGACCCTGCTGTTCATCAAAATTTCATGACTTCCTTAGAACAATATGTTCTACTGTACTGTGCTTCTCAATTGTATTAATTTTCATATTTTCAGTTGAAGAAACTAAATGTGAGCAACAATCAGCTGCGAGCACTTCCTGGCTGTCTGGTAGAGTGTCCAAAGCTGTGTATTTTGGTCACTCAAGGGAATGATCTCATACACCCACCTCAGGCCATCTGTGATATGGGATCCAAAACTACACTGGACTTTTTAAAAGAGAGACACCCACCTGCTGTGCAGTCAAGGTATCATATACAGTACTGTACAGATATCCCCCTAGTTATGATGGGATACGTTCCTGAAAAGCCCATTGCTGGTTGAAATTTTGTAAATCAGGATCATTATAACATGGGGTTCATTGGGATATGTTCCCAGTTAGTCCAACACCCACATATATCACTAAAAAAAAAAAATCCTACACTAATACTATTACCTACAACACACGTAAACAATACTCACCACATCATTAAGAACATGCAAGGCACTTTATTTACATTGTTTGTTATGTATTTATGTGTATGTTTGTGTAGTCACACATGCAAAACACATAGAAATAAAGAAATAAATAATAATGGGAAAGTCCTCTCACAAATAATCAGAAACAAGACAACAAAATGTATTAAGAATGTGAGAGTCTACTCGCAAGTCAACTCCGTGCTTTGTTATTAAAGTTATAAGAAAGCACAAAGGTGACTTGAGGGTAAACTCTCATATTTTTAATACATTTGTTTCTGATTATTTGTGAAAGGATTTTCCCATTATTATTTATTTGTATGTGTTTTGGTGTGTCTGTGTGTGTGTGTGTCTCTACACACACACACACACATATGCAATACAGCAATCCCTTAAAATTCACGGATTTTTAATTCGCGAACCAAGATTATTCGCGGATGACACCCTGCATGTACCCTAGAACGCCTAAGAGTAGTTTTAAAGTTGGTGGCATTTTCACAGATGAGAGAAGAGAGCCATTCGTTCTACAGGCAGTAATTTCTTTTACCTGTATTGTATATATATGTGTGTGTGTGTGTAAACACACACACACACACACACACACACACACACATACGAATAAATAATAATGGGAAAATCCTTTCACAAATAATCAGAAACAAATGTATTAAAAATGTAAGTCTACACAATAATACATTTCTTCTGATTGTATACTGTATATGTATTGTATTGTATATATGAGGCGTTGCGTGGAAAAACTAGCACAAGCACCATTCTCATTTTTTGTCAGGAAATGCGTTCGAAGTTTGTAACATTCAGAAGTTGATAACACGGAAAATATTCTAGTTAGAATCTTGCAGTTTGTTTTGAAATGAAGCTGAGTGTTTGTAAATTATGCAAATAATTTTTTGCAACGATACTGTTAACCTCACCTAACTTAACCCAACCTAACTAAAAATAATGTTTCCTTTTTTTTTTGTAATAAAAACTCGGGTAAATGTTTTGTTTTCCAATCATGATTATCATAATAAAAATACACCCTAAATTGTTTTTCCACTGTGGGAGGCTTCACTGTCATCAGGCTCTGGGACACTGCCTCCCTAGGTGGCTTCTGAGAATAAAACATTACTGAAGAGAAAGAAGCCTCCAATCGATGTAGAGGGTTCAGGCTGGGCCTCAACATCATCAACATAGTCACTGTCACTTGACATTGTTGTGTAGTGACAATACACAACTGCAAACAGCGATATTAATGAAGAAAAGCACGCTCCCTTAGCACGAGATGCACTTCCTCCACACTCAAGTCTCAAGACAAGGACTGAAAAAAGTGCGCCACCAGCCCTGCCCGGCATGCAGTTCTGCTTGCTGATTGGCTGCTTCCACCATAAAACTCCCTTCTTACCCCCAAACCCCCACTCCAAGCCCACAAGCACACTTACAGCCTTATGACATAAGGCTGTATGTTTCACACAAAGAATTTGGCGGATGTGCTACATTCACCATGATAAAATGGTCAAAATGCCGCTTCCATGAGATACGGACCAGAGCTAGGTTTTTGTCTATGGACATTTAACCATATGATCAGTGGCGTTTTTGTACTTCATCCATCACCTCATGAAAATAGGGTGTTTTAAGAACCGTTTGCAGTCATAAACATGATTGTGGCCTGGGTGGCGCTTGTGCTAGTTTCTCCATGCAACGCCTCAAATATATAATATACTGTAAGTAAAAGAAATTATTGTCCTAAAGGCAAACACATAAGGGAATATACATTTCTTTGCACACGAGTAAAAAATGTACCCCCACTCCCCCCTGGTCAGCAAATGTTATTTGCGGATTTGGCGATTCACGGCCATTTGAGAACCTAACCCCCGCAAATTTTAAGGGCATGCTGTAGTGGGGTATGCTATAACGAATCTAATTGGTTCTAGAACCTCGTTCGTTATAGGATTAATCCGTTCCAGGCCCCCAAATACAACCACTTAACACTGAAAAATTTGTGGAAATTGTAAAAAATACGGTACTTTATCTTACCTTAGTGTTGTTCAGCACATTACACCTTGCTTTGCTAAATCTAGAGATTCCCTTAGCCACTAGCACAGTTTTTAACTCCTCTCTATTCTTCAAAATCGTACATACAGTATAGTCGATTTAGCCATCCCATATCCATCACTAAGTTTCGCAATGCTTGTTCCATTCTCACGTTTATTTATAATTTCTTTCTTAGTTTCAAGGGTTATTAGCTTTCTCACTCGCTTTTGACGATTCATTGTTACAATTGTACATTTGTATAACAAAATAGTTATAAAAATGACACGAATTTCCACATCAAAAGACGAAATTTCAACAAGTTCAGTGGTGCACTGACTACACAATGAACCAATATGGCGCCTGACGCTCTTGTTGTGAGCCGCGGTACAACGATATTCATGCGCAGGACGAAATAGTCCCGTATTCATCCGCGTTCGTTGTAGGAGTTTCGTTCGTTATAGCATTATCAATTTTATGGGTAAAACCGTTCGTTATAGGAATATTCATAGTAGAATCCGTTCGTTACAGCATACCCTACTGTATATGTACTTCCTCCTTGTCTACTATTAAGAACATCTATTGATGTCTATTCTTTTCCCTTAAACTCAAGAGTATGTATTTATAGCAATGTTACAGCTTTGGTATGTCCAGTAGAACGTCGTTATAACACGAGATAGGTTCCAAGAGAGGTCGCTTTAAACCGAATTCGCACTAAATCGAAGTGTTGTTTCAATGGAATAATTTAGTTTGGTACTTGAGAGAAACACATAATACTAAAAAGACTAAGAGTCTACCCAGATGCACCTCAGCCCACCTCCTAGAATAAACAAAACATTGTTTTTTGTAGTATTATGTTAAAACAAACACTCATAAATCAACACAGCTAAAATTAAGGGATGCAAAATGATCTGTTTACTGGCTGGGAAGATTGGGGGGGGGGGAGGGAGGTGAGGTGATATGTTTGACAGTTGATACCAAGGTCTAGTGCTTATTTATTTATCTGCCCTTAAGAGTGACTTAAATTTTAGTTCTAATTTAAGAATTTTATTACAAAGAGCACAAATTTTTATCTCTTGTGCAAAATATATGACGTTTATATTTAAATTATTCGCTGTCTTGCAAGGATTCCCTCAATACAAATTTTATTCTCCTAACTTTAGTCTGTGACATTATGTAAGATAAAAACTTTAAGCCAAAAACCCCAAACCCAGGCTAGGAAGATTGGGGTGGGGGATAGGGGGAGAGGGAAGTGACATGTTTGACAGTTGGCACCGAAGGTCTAGTGAAGTATTTATTTGTTCATTTATGTCCTTTAGAGTGAGTTCATGTTTTTTCTTATAAAATGTCACAGAAGTGACCGGGGAGAATATAATTTACATTGCTGGAATTCTTATAAGATATTGAGTAATTTGAATATAATCATGTTATAGTTTGCATTTAGACAAAGATTTTAGTAATCGTTTAGTACATTATTTTGAGTACATGTACAGTACAGCTTTGCCCTTAGGACAGTGTAGTGTGCCCAGAGTAACATTAGGCGCAAAATTTTAATTATGATGCACCAGATTGACTCGCACAAAATAGGAAAGATTCGCTTTAAATTAAAACATTGTCCTTAAGTGTGGGTGTCGCTTTAAATCAATAATCTTAAATTGAATCGCTTTAAATCGACATTCTACTGTACAGGTATTCTTTGTTTAGCGTTGATTCAATGTAGCTATACAAAAATTTTTACACCGTTTCTCATTTAGTTTGAGGTCAACATTCAGTTTAACAATAACTTGACTCACTGGGAAAGGGGGGAACTGGGAATGAGATGGCATGTTGCCATTGTTACATGTAATGAAACTATAAAAGTCGTGGAAAATTTATTACAATACTCTAATGTGGCTTAGAAATTAAGAAAATATATTATAAAACTACTGTATAAAATAAGAAAAATGAAGAGCATGGGTGTATATGTGTGGAGTGAATGTGTGTGTGGAGGCAGTGGGCTGTAACTGCATCACCGACTCACCACCCCTCACCCAGCCACACTCCCTCCCTCCTTCTCGATATGACATCACGACATACACACAAACACACACGCGTCTGTGAGTCAGCTGGGTAGCTGCCTGGCTGAATTGAGTCGCATTTCCCAGAGGATGGTTTGAGTGCGGAAGGAACTATATTTTGTACATAAAATATGTGCTATTGTATTTTATGATATGTTAAACAGCTAAAAAAATTAGCGGAAGCTAGGTAATGCTAACCGCTAACTTTTATTATATGAATTTAGCTTCGTTTTTTTGCTCTAAAACCCTTAAAAACAGACCTAGAGAGCTGAAATTTTCATATGTTGTCTTGTAGCTTAGACATAGAGCTTTCCAAAAAGGTATAGCATGCCAAGATCAGATGATGATCAAGGTGTACACAAATAATTAAATGAACAAATGAAATTAAACATTAGTTTACATTCAAGTTTCAACATACACTTTATAATATTTATTTACTGTACGAAAAGACAGAAAGTATTAAACGAATCCAAAAACTATAGTACTGTATAGCATAGGTAGCAAATAGCATCATGCCTAGATCAGATGATGATCAACTTATCAAGGTGTACACTGTACACAATTTCACAAATAATTAATTTGCATTCTCATACAACCTATCGGCCTTATTCATTATTCATGTAAATATGCAATACCAACCACATACACATTATACCAGTGCATTTTTATATAACTTATTGGTGGTCTTAGTCATGTAAATAAACAGAAAACTCTAAACTTTAATGAAAAGTAAGTTTTTAGAAAATTTTGTTTGGCTCACACCTTGGATGACATCCTGGTTATGAACTTATGCAGTACTTAGCATAACCAAATATATTGACACAAAAAAATCCTAATTAAATTAACAAATAAATGAGAAATAAAATTATACATTATGTTACAATTACATTCTATGATTCTTTCAACATACACTGACAGTCTTTATTTACTGTAAAAAAAAAGTATTAAACTTTTATAATCGAAAAATTCCATTCACTCAGCTGCTGCAGCGCGGAGTCGACAAATCATGTCTTGTCACGTTTACACGTACTAACACGCAGTCAGCCAAGCGTGCCTGACTGGCTGTTGGAGACACTCGTCGCGGCATCACACGCTTACAACAGACAGGAATAAACATGTATAAATTTTGTTAGCGGACTTAAAGTTAGCGGAACTAAATTTAGTGGAAGCTATTTGGTCCGCTAATGGTTTCCAAAGTTAGTGAAAACGCTAATCCGCTAACGAGGAAGTTAGCTTCGCTAATTAGCAGTTAGCGGATTAGCGGAACCGTGCCCTCCACTGCATGTTAGCTATCACTTCAATAAATATACTGTAGGGTTGATTGAATATACAGTACAGTCGACCCTCGTTAATTCGGACTAATAGGGGGGAAGGGTGTCCATTTTAGCCGATTTCCGAATTAACCGATTTAGGGTTTAATATTGCATAATATTGCATTATATTTCAAAGAAAATGCAGTGAGTTTGTCCTTAACCTTGCATATGTCCGAAACTGTTTGCTTTTTAACACCATACTCGTCACAAACTCCAGCCACCGAAGCACCAGCCTCTAACTTCCTTATAAGTTCCAGTTTCTGGTTCACAGAAAGGGTTACATACTTCCTCTTCAGCGTATTACTCCCCCTTGAAGACATGATGTAAAATACAAGGCTGAAAGATGCCTAATCACTGAAATATCAACGAAAATTGTGGGGCAACACAACACTGATACTTGAATATGGCGCTAAGTCAACAATGACTGGCGGTCTGGCGCGCGCACGCCATCTATTGGACAATCCCAGAACCAGAAATTTGATATGGACAGTCCCTCGCTTATTTCAAATTTCGTCTGAATTATCCGAAATCCGGATTAGAGGGGTCCGAATTAACGAGGGTCAACTGTACAATATTATTGAGGAGTTATGCTCCTAAGTTTGAAAAAAGTGGGTATTTAATACAGTATAGTGTGGGACAATTACTTTACTTTAATTCCAACTACAGTAGCATCAGGTTAATTTGCATCATAGTGAATGAGAATGTTTGTGAAGTGATATAAAAATATATACACTATATGGTTTAATATAAAATAAGGGTCTAGGGACTGGAGGCCCAAGAATTTCACCAAGCAAGGCTTAAAAGATTTATTTATTAACCAAACACTAGCAAGAAATGTACTGAACAGTGTTTAGGTGTATCATGGAAAAATAAAGAAAACTGTAAAAAATTAAGAAAGTTGCAAATCAGTAAAAAAGGTAACACTGTATCACAGCCAGCTGCCTTCAACCAATCCATTGTCCCACAGTTTCAGCGTACAGCTAACTCAGTTCCTGTTGGTGTGCACTTGATTGAATTTTAGGAAGCTGCACTCATATACAGCATATTTTGTGGGCTTGGACATATTTTCTACAATATTATGTATTTTGTTTGCTCTTTGTTTCATTTTGAATGCAATATTAACAGTGCCTCAATTATTTTGCTTTTTAATTTTATTTCTTTTATTCTTAGGAGTGCATCGTGTACGGTGTTGTGTTTGGGTGTGCAATTACAGCTGTATCATGGGATAGTCTTGATAACAAATTATTTTTCGTTTTGTTTAAGTCATTTACAGACATTGTGTTGATAACACCTCAGTTTATATTTTTCATCTGTGAGATACACATGCTGTGTTATTGTGGACAGAACTGAATTATTTTTGGTGATGTAATCTCAAGTGGTAGTACATAGAACTTTTTTTTTATTCAGTAGAGGTTCATTATGTTTCAACAGTACAGTACAGCATTTCATGACTGTGAACCAGTTAGCCTCACATTTATCACATTTTATAAGTCCATGGCATGTGATTACAGTATATAATACACTGTTTTGTTTTAAGTTGATGTTATCTCCTGGTGTTGGTTTTAAGATTTCTTTATTCAATAGGGAGATCAATGCTTTTGGATAACATTGCATTTAATAATACAGAACCCTTATACAGTAATCATGGAGCAGTAGTTTCAGTTTATTTTTATTTTAGTACTGTGAAAGCCAGTGTGTTTGTTCGTGTAAGAGGACAACAAGTGCTGGCCAGCGTCTCAAACCCAGAATCTGCCAGCATGGAATACCGTCAGGCCCAGGGAACATCTCGGACAAATAAGCGCAAGTGTCCATTGATGCCACCAGTTAATGCAACTACCCTTAAGCCTGACCAACTCAAAAATATGTTGCTTGGTGAGTTGTATTCAGTTATAGGACATCAAGTACTGGCATATATATACAGTATTTGAGACATTTTTATTACAAATTAATTACATTTTGGTGTACAGTACAGTACTTTACCTCATTTGTAGGAACAATGTTTGTGCTGCAAGCAGTTCCTCACCCAGTTGAAGCAGAATTCTGAACCCTTAATTTAATGGTTGTCTTAATAGACCAATGAGGTACATGCCTCAGCCCACCTCAGTTCCTGCTGCTACAGACATAGTGACAACACCTGGTTTCCAAGTACGGTACTCTACAGTAGGTGGAGAAGGATAGGTGCTGCTATTGTACTTTACTGAATTTTTTTTTTAATTATAACTTTGTTACAGCTAATGGCACACAGTTTTTAAAACACTTACGTAAAAGTACTGGGCGGTTACACTAAGTTGGATGGTGTTTTATATGGGCATATTTTGCTCTTCTGGTTCACAACTGAGTGATGTGGGAGTATTAGATTCTTTTGTAAACAAACTTTGTGATTTTTGGGGGGTAATTAAATTATGGGACTCGCTTTTACTCCTAGTGCTAAGAATCATGATACCTGCATACCAGTCGATGAGTCCTTAAGTAACAGTACAGTTTTGCAATTTGAAATGAGCTGATTGGTAATGGACGAGTTGATGGTTCTGGGTAAACACAAGAAATACACTCTGCCACGTTCGTAGAGTGATATGGTATATATAATTTGTAATAAAAGTTTAAAGTCCTGCTATAATAGTCGAGATAAGTTTATTTCTCTAGAAACAGAACCGCCATTTGCAATGACGTCACTAGTTTCAAACACCGCTGGGCTGCAGTCATAGGTAGTTGAAAGGATGGCCTCTTCAGACCCCAAATGCCATGTTCAGGTAAGTATTAAGGGTGTTTATTTATGGTCAAGTCATGAACATTTTGTAAGTGAAGAAATGTGCCACAAAGAGCAGGTTCAAACATAGGTTGGATGGAGATATGAGCAATAGGGGTTGGGTGTAAATGGGACTTTCCAGTATGGCCCGCTGCATTATTGGTTACACTTTGCTTTGCTAAGTCTAGAGCTTCCCTTAGCCACTTGCACTGTTTTCAACTCCTCTTTATTCTTTAAAATCGTACATATAGTCGATTTAGCCATCCCATACTCATCACTAAGTTTCGCAATGTTTCTTCCATTCTCACGTTTATTTATAATTTCTTTCTTAGTTTCAAGGGTTATTAGCTTTCTCACTCACTTTTGACGATTCATTGTCACAATTGTACACTTGTATAACAAAATATTTATACAAATACAGTTAACGAACTCAATCCGTTCCAGAAGGTCGTTCGTTAACCGAAAAGTTCATTAATCTAAACCATTGTTTCAATGGGTTTTTGGGTAATTGGTTCCAGCTCACCGAAAATTTCCTAAATTCAACAAAAATGGTAGAAAAGTTCACTTACTTTGAGGTGTGTATGTAGAAGGCTCCTGGATGATGATGATGATGATGGGATTTAGAATGGGGGTGGAGGAGAAGGAAGAAGAGAAGGCATTGGGGTGGAAGAGAAGTCACCCCATGGCGCCATTTCACCCATAAAATTTTAGCTCTCTGGTGTATTCAAGATTATTTTCTTTAAATCAACACTGCACTGCATTATATATTGTCAATATGTAAAATATATTTCAAAATGACCAATAATTTGCTTGGAAACACAGAAAAAAGCATTTAGTTGAAGAGAGTCTCAAGCAAGATGTTACTTCCAGTGAAAACAGAGAGAGACTAACGCCTGTTTGCTGTGTTAAGAGGCTGGATGCCGCGCATTAAACTAGTCACTTTACCTTCAATTATGTTCAATAATTGTTAAAATGACTAAAAAATTGAATATTAAACTTTTAAAATTATTGAATAGTATAAACTTCTTGATTTTTACTAAAATAGTAAGGAATTTAAGCCCTAGAACCGATTAATGTATTGGCGGACTGATACTAAAGCTGGTTGCCCGGTCAGTGCAAGTGAAAACATGTTGAGGTCGGTTCGTAAGAACTTCGTTAACCGAATTTTTTTTCGTTAACCGAATTGAAGATCCTTATGGAAGGCAGTTCGTTAATCGAAATTACGTTAACTGAGGTGTTCGTTAAACGAGGGGTCACTGTAACGCTATTTCCACATCAAAAGACGAAATTTCAACAATAACAGTGGTGCACTGGCTACACAATGAGACAAAGATGGCGCCTGACGCTCTTGTTGTGGGTTGTGGTACAACAATATTCATGCGCCAGGCGAAATAGTCCCGTATTCATCCGCGTTCGTTGTAGGAGTTGCATTCGTTATAGCATTCTCAATTTTATAGGTAAAACCGTTCGTTATAGGAATATTCGTAGTAGGATCCGTTCGTTATAGCATACCCCACTCTGTGTGTGTGTGTGTGTGTGTGTGTGTGGTTATCAGCATATACCTAGATCACGCTCACCTACAGTGATTTACTTGCACACACACACACACACACACACACATATATATATATATATATATATATATATATATATATATATATATATATATATATATATATATATATATATATATATATATATATATATATATATATATATATATATATATATATATATATATATATATATATATATATATATATATATATATATATATATATATATATATATATATTTATGCATACATACATACATACGCATGCGTATTATTTCGCTAACGCTGTTTCACTTAACGCTTTTCATATGCGGTGCCTCGCCAGAGCTGAACTTTCACTTAACACGGATTTTTTTTTTCCACATATACACGGTGAGTGTCCGCTCGAGACGCTTTTTAGATTTGCCCCACCCGCCAACTCTGCCTGACTGCCTGTTTTAGCTCATAAAATTCATACACAATTGTTGTGAATATAATTTACATTGCTGGAATTCTTATAATTTGATGATCATTTTGAATATAAACATCATATATTTTGCATTAAACATACAAATTTTAGATAAAAAAATTTTTCTGAGTAACTATGTTATCTTTTGTGCAAAATATATGACGTTTATATTCAAAATATTCCTGGTCTTACAAGGAATCCAGCAATGTCAATTATATTATCCTAACTTTAATCTGAGGTATTATTTAATACAAAATGTTAAAATCTAAATTTTTCACCCACTCTTCTCTTGAAGGGATGATTGGTGGGGGGTGGGGGGGAGGGTTGGGACTGACCCCGCGTTGGAAGAGGGGGGAGGCAAGGTGGGGTACTTTGATTGACAGATAGTGTCGTGAAGATTATTTTTTTTTTTATTAACTGAAGATATTTGTTTTAGCTCATAAAATTCATACAAATTTCCCGACCAGAATATAATTTACATTGCTGGAATTCTTATAATTTGGTGATCATTTTGAATATAAACATCATATATTTTGCATTAGACATACAAATTTTAGATAACAAATTTTTTCTGAGTAACTATGTTATCTTTTGTGCAAAATATATGACATTTATATTCAAAATATTCCTGGTCTTACAAGGAATCCAGCAATGTCAATTGTATTATCCTAACTTTAGTTTGAGGTATTATTTATTAAAATTTAGTGGTTTCCCCAAAAATTTCTCAGAGAGGGAAGAGCCGGCAGTGTAGTGTGAGAGGGGGAGGGAGTTGAGTCCATTATTTGAATGGACATTAACTTGGCGACTGTATTTCTCTATTTCTCTTAAGTATTAATTGTGTGCATGTACCATCATAAAATTAAGATGTTATTTTTACTACAACATAGTTATGTGTCTTCAAAAAGTGGAGTTTGGGGGTCGGGCCGGTTTCTATTGGAATTAATCCCATATGTTCTGTTGTTCACTTAACGCGGATTTCACTTAACACGGGACCCTCTGGGTTCTATTGACCGCGTTAAGTGGGGTACAACTGTATATATATATATATATATAATCAACACCTCAACCCGCCAGGATTCGAACCCACGGCCCACAATCCTATGACTGTGACCGGGGAATGCTAACCGCTGGACCACCAGGATACTAAAAGCAGTCCTAGACTTTGTTATATTTCACACAAAGCCTGTTCAACGAGCTTATGGCGCCGTGAACCTCTAATGGGGACCACCCGTATCACGTAGGTGGTCAGAGTAACGTTTTACCAAATCCGGCTTCGAAACACGAGGATCCATATATATTTCATTAGCCCAATAAAGCAGCGGTTAGCGTTCACCGGTCACAGTCATAGGATTGTGGGCCGTGGGTTCGAATCCTGGCGGGTTGAGGTGTTGATTGTATGTAGAAGTCCGCGTGCTTTATTGGGCTAATAAAATATATATGGATCCTCGTGAATATATTATATCAAGCACAGTATGAATAGAATATCACTAATATAACAGTATTTTAATCGCAAACTATTAAAAAAACGAGTAACATCTCTTGAACATCGGAAGGTTAGGTAAAGTCTTTTGTTTTCGTCATGTAGTTTATCCTAATTTACATTGAAATACATCACATTTCAGCAAAACTACTATGGTATTTATTTCCGAGAATATGGAAATGTAATATTTTTGCTGAAATGACGTACGTATTACAGTGGAAAGTGGGATAAAATCGTGACGAAAACAATGACTTTCGCTTTCTTTCGTTCAAAAGATGTTACCGTAATTGCTTTTTGAATGGTTTTCAGTTAAAAAACTGTTGTATTACAATAATATTCTATCCTAATTCACTTGTGATGTAACAGTTATTTAACTGAAAAGATTAAAAAACACGTTTACCGTCTAGCTGATACGGCAGAGCCCTGGTCGTGGAGGCTTTGTTTTTCCATCGGCCCTTCTAAAGTAGCTTTTAATTTTAGCATACAGTCAACCCTCGTTAATTTGGACCCCTTTAATCCGGATTTCGGATAAATCGGACGAAATCTGAACTAAGCGAGGGACTGTCCGTATCAAATTTCTGGTTCTGGGATTGTCCCAGTTGTAATTGGGGTTGCAATTTCAAATTCTGTGTCATTACTAAGGAATAACGAAGTCTCTGGTGCACTGCACTCTAAGATTAAGAGAAAACGGAGGACTCAGGCATCCTGAAGCGAGAGAAAACGGACTCCTATGACGGGGCACTCAAATAAACATACACATAGCTACATGTTTTGTGGACTTCCCACTGTACAGTATCCTTTACATCACTTTGTAATAAACCTAGTCATGCCTATGTGTGTTTCTGATAATTACCATAACATTATATCTTTAGTGGGTCTGAATGAGAGCGGTTGTACAAACACAAGCACGTATCTAGGACGTTAACCGGCGCATGACTGTATAATGCAATATTATGCAATATTAACCCCTAAATCGGTTAATTCGGACAATCGGCTAAAACGGACACCCTTCCCTTCTTATTAGTCCATTTTAACGAGGGTTGACTGTACGTTGAAATTGTGTTTACCGGTATATTCTTATTTTCTTGCTTCTTATTTTCCAGAAATATGACAAGTTTGTATATAATACAATGTTACGGTACTTTTAATTTACAAGTATTCATTTTTAAAAATACAGAAGACACCAAACAAATACCAGTACGGATATTTGCATGACTCTCCCGCCAAAAAAGACCAAGCAGCTGGTACTGTCTCCTTCAGCCCTACCAAAAATAGCCCAACAACATCTTTCTTGTTTATTCTCTTCCAATTTCTCACTTTAACTGGTATTTTTTACTTCATATTGCCTACATCAGATAAACTACAGTAATTGAGGTTAGACACTGTTATAAATTTGATTACCGGGTACTGGCAGGATGCCGTTAGAACCACCTGACCCTACCAACAGTGTTGCAAGTTAGACACAGCATTTTTTATTTTTACATTTTTGGTGTCTCCATTTGTTAATTTTTTTTTCTGTGGGGTTTGCACAATAGTAAACTGTTTTACCTACAATATTGTAAAACGATTTGGGAAAAGAAATACTCAGTAACTTAAAATTTTAAACGGAAAATCTTGAAACTGGCAAGTGTGTGCTGAAGATGATGACAAGGAAAATTATTTTGATGGATTTTCATGAAAATCTTCAGAAATATGGTATCGTAGTATTTATTCAAATGAATAGGATAGAATATTATTGTAATACAACAGTTTTTTAACTGAAAACCATTCGAAAAGCGATCACAGTAAAATCTTTTGAACAACGAAAGAAAGCGAAAGTCATTGTTTTCGTCATGATTGTATCCCATTTTCCACTATAATACGTACGTCATTTCAGCAAAAATAGTAAATATGCGCCGGTTAACGTCCTAGATACTTCTCTGGAAACGTGGACGTTAATAACCCGAAATAGACGTTGTCCGATCCATCACATAAACTTTGTATTTAGCATACTTCGTGTATGTGGAATACTATACGTACATATACCGCTTTGCTCTTAAATCACTACTGTAATGTGATACAGGTGATTAATTTTTTATCTCTTATTAAAATACATAGCGTTTATATTAAAATTATTCACTGTTTTACAAGTTAGCAACTTGCCGAGCAGATGGGAGGGAGAGGGTGCAGGAGTGGCTGAGGAGGAGGCAGTATATTTGACAGTTGGCCCAGAATTCTTGTATCAGTTCTTGGTATTTAAGCTTCTCCTCTTATAAAAAGCCAGTGAAATGACCTGGGTGAATATAATTAACATTGCTGGGATTCTTGTAGCATACTGATTAATTTGAATATAAACATGCTATAATTTTGCACTAGACAAAACGAATTTTTGTGCGTAATCAGAATTAGTACATGTGCACTCAACTTTGCACTAAGGTCATTTATTTCTATTACACGTTTCTTTTTATTATGAATTGTGTGCATGTAAATGGATGAACGAAAATAAATGAAGAAATCCTATGTAAATCTACCCAAAAATACAGTTTAGAAAAACTTTTTTTATAAAATGTGCTATGATACTGTACACTAATGTACAAAAGTTTTTATCTCTTCAGGCAACCATAGCGTTTTACAATGGAATTATTGGATGTCTTGCAAGTTCAGCAATGCAGATTATAATCTCTAAACTTTAGTCTGAAAGGATATTATATAAGATCTATGCAACCCTAAGCCTGGCTGGGAGGGACTGGCGGGGCAGGAGCCACCCAGCGAGGGGTTGGGGTTGGGGGGGCGTGGAGGGTTGAGGTGATAAGTTTGAGCTGAAGGTCTCTGTGTGTTTATTTAACAGTCCTACTAAGCTTCTCTCATTTTAAAATGTAGTGATATGACCTAGGAGAATATAATTAGCATTGCTGGGATTCTTGTAAGATACTGATTTATTTGAATATAAACATGTTGTAATTCGCACTAGACATAACAATTTTAGTACCGTAATCAAATTAGTACATGTGCACTCCAGCTTTGCACTAAGGTCATTTATTTCTTTTACGTTTCTTTTAGTATGGTGTGTGCATGTAAATGGATGAAAATAAATGAAGAAATTTATGTAAATCTGTCCAAAAATTCAGTTGAAAAACTTTTTATAAAATGTACTACAGTATTGTACACTAATGTACTACATTTTTTATATCTTGAGCAAAATATATGACGCTTATATTCAAAAATAATCTCTGTCTTGCAAGGATTTCAGCAATGCAAATTGTATTATCCTAACTTTAGTCTGAGATATTATATAAAATAAACATAAAGAAATCGCCAATCTTTTGTCTGGGAACACAAGGAGGGTGGGAAGAAGGGGGGGGGTGAGGTGACAATGTCTGGCATTTGTTTGTTTATTTATTTGAGATAAGATTTGACAGTTGGCGCTGAAGGCCTGCCTGCGTGTTTATTTATCATTACTTAAGAGTGACTAAGCTCTTCTCTTAATTTGCCACCCAAACGACCTGGGTGAATATAACTTACATTGGAGGGATTCTTGTAAGATAGTAATTTATTTGAATACCTGTATAAACAAGCTATATTTGCCATAGACATAACAATTTTAGTACCGGAATCATTTAGTATCATGTACAATACAGGTTTGCACTTAGGACCCTTGTTACTGTACAATATTGACTAAACTCACTAGGTAACGTACGCCTGGCCGCACAATCTATAAGAATATGCGATGCATACATGACTGTGCCCGCTCTAGGTCCATTTAGGTTCGCTAGGTCCCATTATTTGAATTTTTTTTTTTTTTTTTTCAATTTAAATTTTAATTGTTTATTCCTTGATAGAGGAAGTGGGATCCTAGTGCTGTTATCTTGGTACCCCTGTACCATAACACCACAAGCAACTGGCCAGTGTCACAAGTATATACAGTACAGTCATCCCTTGCTTATCGCGCCTAAGTGGGACCCCGCTGATAATGAAAGTACAGAACCTATGGGATTTATTCTAATTGGTTCCAGGCACCCAAGACCCAACCCCAAGTTTCCCATTTTACGACCATTTATTTCCACTAAATATATATATATAATGTTATGGTAAATATCATGAACACACATAGGCATGGCTAAGTTTATTACAAAGTGATGAAAAGGGTACCTCAATACTGTAGTCCACAAAACATGTAGCTATGCTTATTTTATTTGGTCCCCCATCATACGAGTCCGTTTTCTCTCACATCAGGACTCCTGAGTCCTCCGTTTTCTCTCTTAATCTTAGAGGGCACTAGAGACTACACTATTCTTAGTAATGCTACAGAATTTGAAATTGCAACCCCAATTGCAACTGGGGGTGCAATTGTTGAGGCAACTAGATATGTCTGATTACAGCAAATGTGTTGTCAATTTGTAGGTGAAAGATTTTATCCTCAATAGATGTAGGTTAACATTACACCTGGAGGCAAAAAAAGCCTAAGGAAGGAAGCATATTCCTTTAACACATAATATCTGGCCAGTATGGGGAGGATCATCGTGTCTCCGCCAGGGGGTCGTGGAGTGGTGGTCCAGCAGGTGTCACGGATTTTTATTTTTTGGGGGGTGGAGGGGGGGGGGCCACGGACATATATGCGATCGGACGTTGTTCGGTTGGACGTTAACCGGCGCATATACAGTACAGTACAGTTGTTTGATGGATATCACAATATTGTATTTAATGCTGTATAGACACAGTTTATTTAATTTTGTACTGTACTGTATATTAATCTCATCCTTTGACTCTAGGACTGCTGTATGGAATGGCTATTGGTGATGCTATGGCACTGAACACTGAGGGTCTTACTGTTGATGAGTGTATCTTCTTTTATGACCCAGAAAATCTCTCCTTGGATACTAGAATCTATGATTATCTTCGAACCCATTTCCCTCCACATGATTGGTCTTCAAACACTGATATTATGGTAAGTAAGTGAGTACAGTTTTACCTTTTTCATCCAATTTCTAATTGTTTAACACTGCCACATTGCCACATGTATGGAATGGCCACCAAGGGGTGGGACATTACTCCTGCAGGCAATTAATCATGCTTTCATCACCATTGTAATTTAAAAAAAAAAAATTCAGCCATGTGATTCAATCTGTATTTAAATTCATATGACTACTAAAACAGCTGATTAAAAATGATGCCCACCAACAATGTGGGATCATTCTGTTCACCAATGTTATTTGCCAGGAATTTCAGCTGGAATTAAAGGTTCAAATATTGTGCAGTACTGTACAGTAACCCCTCGGTTAACGAACTCAATCCGTTCCAGAAGGTCGTTCGTTAACCGAAAAGTTCGTTAACCGAAACCATTGTTTCAATGGGTTTTTGGGTAATTGGTTCCAGCTCACCGAAAATTTCCTAAATTCAACAAAAATGGTAGAAAAGTTCACTTACTTTGAGGTGTGTATGTAGAAGGCTCCTGGATGATGATGATGATGATGATGGGAATTACAATGGGGGTGGAGGAGAAGGAAGAAGAGAAGGCATTGGGGTGGAAGAGAAGTCACCCCATGGCACCATTTCACCCATAAAATTTTAGTTCTCTTGGTGTATTTCAAGATTATTTTCTTTAAATCAACACTGTACTGCATTATATATTGTCAATATGTAAAATATATTTCAAAATGACCAATAATTTGCTTGGAAACACAGAAAAAAGCGTTTAGTTGAAGAGAGTCTCAAGCAAGATGTTACCTCCAGTGAAAACAGAGACACTAACGCCTGTTTGCTGTGTTAAGAGGCTGGATGCTGCGCTTTAAACTAGTCACTATACCTTCAATTATGTTCAATAATTGTTAAAATGACTAAAAAATTGAATATTAAACTTTTAAAATTATTGAATAGTATAAACTTCTTGATATTTACTAAAATAGTTAGGAATTTAAGCCCTAGAACCGATTAATGTATTGGCGGACTGATACTAAAGCTGGTTGCCCGGCCAGTGTAAGCGAAAACATGTTGAGGTCGGTTCGTGGTTTTAGGGGGAATGATTTAAGCTTCCAAAGTTAAACTGTAAGTCAATATACAAGTTGTAGATGGTAATTACAATGTTATAATTTTATTTTAAGGCATACAGTGAACCCTCGCTTTACGCGTTTCTACATTTACGCGGTACCCTGCCAGAACCGGAATTCCCACTTTACACGGTGCATCTACTCATATACGCGGGTGAAGTATAATTTTTTTATTTAGCTCATAAAATTCATACAAATTACCCGGCCAGAATATAATTTACATTGCTGGAATTCTTACAATTTAATGATCATTTAAATATAAGCGTCATAGATTTTGCATTAGACATACAAATTTTAGATCTAATGCAAGTATTTTGTTTACTCAGAGCAAATATGTTATCTTTTGTGCAAAATATATGACGTGAATATTCAAAATATTCCTGGTCTTGCAAGGAATCCAGCAATGTGAACTATATTATCCTAACTTTAGTCTGAGGTATTATTTATTACTAAAAAGGTAAATATTTTGGTTTCTCCCAAACAGTTCTCTGGTAGGGAGGGAAGGTGGGGGGAGGGCTGGGACCGACTGACCTAGCTGGCGTGAGTGTGAGGAGGGGGGGAGGCAAGGTGGGGTATTTTGATTGACAGATAGTGTTGTGAAGAATATTTTTTTTTTATTATTAACTGAAGATATTTGTTTTAGCTCATAAAATTCATGCAAATTACTCGGCCAGAATATAATTTACATTGCTGGAATTCTTACAATTTGATGATCATTTTTAATATAAACATCATAGATTTTGCATTCGACATACAAATTTTTGATCTAATGTAAGTATTTTGTTTACTCTGAGTAAATATGTTATCTTTTGTGCAAAATATATGACATTTATATTCAAAATATTCCTGGTCTTACAAGGAATCCAGCAATGTCAATTATATTATCCTAACTTTAGTCTGAGGTATTGTTTATTACTATTCCTTAAAATCTAGTGTTTTCCCCCAAACATTTCTCAGAGAGGGAAGAGCCAGCGAGTGTGAGAAGAGGGGGAGGGAGTCGAGTCCATTATTTGAATGGACATTAACTTGGCGACTGTATTTCTCTATGTATTTCTCTATTTCTCTTAAATATTAATTGTGTGCGTGTACCATCATAAAATTAAGATGTTATTTTTACTAGAACATAGGTATTGTGTCGGAAAAAGTGGAGTTTGGGGGTCGGCCTGGTCTCTATTTCAATTAATCCCCTATGTTATGTTGTTCACTTTTCGCATTTCTCGCTTTAGTTCACTTTTCGCGTTTTTCGCTTTACGTGGGCCTCCGTGGGTTCAATTGACCGCGTAAAGTGAGGGTTCACTGTATACAGGTACTGTACTGTATAGAAATTTTTTATGCAGAATTTACACCCATATTACTAACCAATAGATTACTGTAAAGGTAAAACTCAAAAAGTATTATGCAAATTAATAACCAATACATAATTATTATATTTATACTGACTCTTAGGAAAAATCAATTTGAGATAATGTGCTTGGTCCCGACCTATTCTGTAAAATTGGTATTATACAGTATTTGGCAGGAAGAGATGCTTTGCTTTGATTGGCAGGAAACACAGTGTGTGTTCACTAGTGAGTGATGATTGGTTGGAAACATATAGCATGCTCACTGAGTTCTGATTGCCTGTGGAATTATCACCCACTCACTGCTGAAATGCTCAGAATAAAGTAACTGGTTAATGAAAGGCCCCCCCAAAAAAGTAACGAATCAAGAGTAACGATGATTGATTGAAATGTTACTCGAGTAAAAGTACCAAAAAGAAAAGTTACTTTCAAGTAGCTTGTTTATTATTTATTCAAAGGCATTTACATTTTCTATTTGGCAGATATTAACACTAGATTCATTGATGCGCTGGGGTGGAGTTGTGGACGAGCTCGAGCTGGCCTCTCAGCTGGATCAGTGGAGAGTCCATGGCTATGCTGACCTCGATCCTTCACCTGGCTACCTTCTCTCTCCTTTTATGAAAAAGGTTTGTTACTCAAATTTTTGTGAATAGGCATACAGGTACACCCGGCTATACACCAGGCATGAATTACTGAAAAGTGTGACATTACATAAAACAACATACTGAACTATATAGTGAACACAAGTAGACCATAGGCCTAATGATGTAAATAAAGATTCATTCCTGGGGAAGTTTCTGGTAAAAAGTTTCTCACCATGATATTAATTAAATACCTAGATTATATTTTTTTAAGTTAAAATAAATATTTTAATATAATATATACGGTACTTACCTCATAATTTAGGGTTGGATGTTTAAAAAATTGGTCCAGAGACTGATGTACAACTTTCTCCTTTTGTTGTTTGTACAGCTCCTTGTAGCAGTTATTATCATTGATGGTTGGTAGCTTGTTACATTCCTTTGTTATGAATACAGTAAAGCCTCGATTAACAACGGTAATGTGTCCTCCAATATTACAGTGTAAGGTGAATCATTGCATCGTGAATCATTAAATACTATTAAAATAATGCAATAATAATGAGATTCGTTCCCTGGTGTGACCTTTCCATAACTTTTGTGTGGGTTTTTACCCCCTTTTCCCCCAAAACAATACAATTAATGAAAAATGCAAACTATATAGGTAGTAGGTAGCTGTCAAACAGGGAGGTACTACTGCCTGGGAAGATATTGGAAGCATAATGTGTTGTCTAATGGTAGACCCTACTGCCATATGGCATCACAAAAATTGTGACCAAGTCCCAGGTTGCTGACCTGACTTTCTGCCTCATTTACACACAATTGCAGGGTTCAATTGTTTTCTTACCATTGACAACACAACATACATATATCGTTTCTCACTATTGATCTTTTTTTGTGTGTGTGTATTTATTTAGTACTACAGTACTATTATTGTTATTATTATATTATAATATATTTTTATGTAATATTTATTATAATTTTTTATTAATTTTTATTAATTATTATTTATTATTGTTGCAGTAGAACGTTGCTTTAACACGAATCGATCTAAGATTGATTTAAAGCGACACCCACAATTAAGGACAATGTTTCAATTTTGCGCGAGTCAATCTAGCGCATCATATTTAAAATTTTGCGCCTAGTGTTTCTCTGGGCATGCTACACTGTCCTAAGGGCAAAGCTGTACTGTACATGTACTCAAAATAATGTGCTAAATGATTACTAAAATTTTTGTCGAGTGCAAACTATAGCATGATTGTATTCAAATTAATCACTATCTTATAAGAATTCCAGCAATGTATTTTATATTCTCCTCGGTCACTTCTGTAACATTTTATAAGCAAAAAACTTAAACTCAAGCTAAAGGACAGAAATAAACAAATAAATACTTCACTAGACCTTTGGTGCCAACTGTCAAATATGTCACTGCCACTTCCCTCCCTCCCCCCTATCTTCCCAGCCAGGGTTTGGTGTTTTAGGCTTAAAGTTTTTATCTTATATAATGTCACAGACTAAAGTTAGGAGAATATCCTTGCAAGACACGAATAATTTGAATATAAACGTCATATATTTTGACCAAGAGATAAAAAAAATTTGCTCTTTGTATGTCTAATGCGAGCTATAGCATGTTTATATTCAAATCAATCATTATCTTATAAGAATTCCAGCAATGTTAATAATATTCTCCCAGGTCAGTTCAGTGACAGTTTATAAGAGAAAAACTTAGTCACTCTTAAGGACAGATAAATAAATAAGCACTAGACCTTGGCATCAACTGTCAAACATATCACCTCACCTCCCTCCCTTCCCCCATCTTCCCAGCCAGTAAACAGACCATTTCCTATCCCTTAAATTTAGCTGTGTTGATTTATGAGTGTTTGTTTTAACATAATACTACAAAAAACAATGTTTTGTTTATTCTAGGAGAAGGGCTGAAGTGCATCTGGGTAGACTCTCAGTCTTTTTAGTATTTGCGCCGCAACCGCAACCTTTTTCAAAAAGTTTCGTCGCAAGCAAAACCGCAGCCGCAACACGCAACTTTAAAATAAATAAATAAACAGACAAATACTAAAATAAAAAATTTTGGGTTTTACAAGTGAAACAAAATATAATTGATACAAAAACGTTAATATTATCAACATTTTATTTCAAAATTACAAAAAAAATTACTCACTGCCACTGGCCTCAGTCTCAGTGGACTGGCTGTCAACAGCCTCAGCCACTTCAACTTCCGTGTCCATGTGCTGGTCGGCAGCGGCAGAATCACTGCTGCCGGCCACAGACTCCTCCTCGTCACAAAACGATCCATAATACTAGTAATAACAAGAAACTGACGCCTTAACTGCAGTGCTACTGACTGCCTGACTGGTTCATTGTCTCAGTTTCATTCCCTACTATTATCTTCACAAACAATGCTCTGACTAAGCTATCAAAAGCAAGAATTCAATTGATCAGAAAAGGTTGGATGGCAACAGGTCCCAACATGCAGCGCCTTGCTACAACACCTGAGGAGCAGATTCAAAAGGTTCCCTTCAGAATATCAATTAATTCCTTAGTTAACCTCCACAATTTCACTATGATTTTCAGAGTCTCTGATATTCATAGGTGAAAAAAAAGGTTTACAGGGTCTCGGTAGCAGAAAGAGTTTACAACTTCGGTCAACAAACACACGATAACTCGATGATGCCATCAAAGAAACAGAGAGCACGGAGGACATTTCCACTGGGAGACTCAGAAGGTTTTGTGGACGTGTAAGTGTAATATGGATCATTAGTTTAACAGGTTAGCTGTCATTACGATCATGACAATACATCTTTATGTTGAGGTCATATGCGTTTTTCACGTCCCTGCTAATTTTAATGCTTCGTTCTGTTAATGGATCTACTTCAGAAAATATGTTCATTGCTTGCTCCATATAATATCCACAGACCTCTCACTTTTTTCATATCGTTTTAACACATCTAGTTTCTCGGCTAAGCTTATACACTTTCGTTAAGCATTTGAACCAGCACTACCATCACTTGCTCTCTTGCTCACTGACTTGGGCTGGCTGTGGTGGGTGGCGGGTGAAGAACTCGGTAAAGTTTTGTTGACTGGGCGACCTTGTGCGCACCCTGCCCGCGCCGCTTCCCGCGTAAATGATGGAATGAACCGTGTAAATAAAAATTGTCGGTCTGGCAAGGTGCCGCGTAAATGACCAAACGCGTAAACCAAATCCGCGTAAATCGAGACTATACTGTATGTTGAAAGATCAAATGGAAAACTTGAGGACTGCAAGATTTTGGCTTAGGTACCGTATTTTATGGCATATAAGGCTCACTTATTGCCTGAAAAATAGTGCAAAAAAAAAAAAAAGCCCGTGTCCTCTATGTGAAGTTGTGGTCTCCAGTAGGCTAAATTCTACTTAAGCTAATTCAAGAATTAAAAATACAGGGCATCATCGCTTAACGTCAGGGTTACATTCCTGAAAACACGACGTTATGCAAAACAGTGTTAAGTGGATCAATTTTCCCCACAAGAAATAGATAGAATACAGGAGTTACGTTCCCCAGCCTCCCTTTGCCACATGAAAAAAGTTACATATACAGAAAATAAGTGCCATTTCTATAGAATATAGAACTACAGTACTAAGTTTGTATTGGTACTCACCGATGGGCGGAGGGAGTAGAGCGAGTGTGTGGTGGATAGTGGAGTGAAGGAGGAGGATGGCGGGAGCGGAGGAGGAGGGTGGGAACGGAGGAGGGTGGGAGGGGAGGAGGGTGGGAACGGAGGAGGGTGGGAGGGGAGGAGGGTGGTGAGTAACTGAGACTCTGTGGCTGCCTCCTCCTCCTCCTGCTCTGACTGGGGTTCCTCCGCTGCTGCCTGCTCCTTCTCCTCCGTTGATGTTTGCTCCTCCTCTGTTGTTGGCGGGAATGTCTCGGCAGCAACCATATCTGAACTGGCAGCTTCACCAGTCATCTTAATATTGTGGAAGTTATACCGACGCTTAAATCGTTGAAACCATCCTCGGCTGGTCGTAAAGGTCTCTTCCTTCGATCCTTCACCCTCTTCTTCCTTTATGTCGCCAAACAAGGATCTGGCCTTATGCTGGATAACCATAAGACTCACAGGCGCATTGCATTGATTCTGGTCCTCCATCCACATAGCCAACATGTTTTCCACCTTCTCTATCACAGTGCTTCTAGTATGAGTCGTCTTAGAAGCACTCGGAGAAGAACCACTTCCAGCACTAACCTTTATCTTGTCAGCGTTCGTTCGGATAGTACGCACCGTTGTGGGGGTTAGACCAAGCACAGCGGCTATGTCCACAGAACATTCCTCTTTTTCAAATCGGGTTAATACATCGATTTTCGTAGCAAGGGTAATGGTCTTACGTTGCCTCTTCACTACACTAGCATCAGTAGCACTTGATGGGCGCTTGGAAGCCATTTCGAATGGTTAGGGTATAGTTTTTGAGCAAAAGCACTTAAGTACACACGAATGATGTGAAATCGTAACAGAGACTGGCTTGGCGTTGCTTGGGGATGCTGTGATGTTCCACGAATGAGGGCAGTGTGCCGAGCCGAGAGAACGTAGCCCGGCCAGACAAGAGCGGGCGATGCGCCGTAGAAAGTAGTCCGTGACGATGCAAAGCGACGTAGTATCAGATCACCGGGACGTTAAACGAATTTTGGGTCTCTAAAGTTCAGTGACATAGTACCGAAACAACGTTAAGCGGGACGACATTATGCGAGGACTTACTGTATGTTATTGCCTACTTGTCCAATCAGTGAAGTTAAGCAATATTGGGTTTGGTTAGTACTTGGATGGATGACCGCCTGGCCCTAAGAATTCCAGATGCTGCTGGCAAAAGGACTATTGGAAACAAGCCATTCATGGCTTTGTCAGCTGTCTTTGGTCATATTGTTTGAATATCATTTATTTATTATTTATTATTATTATTGTAAATATTGCTGTAAATATAAAAGCGGAATTTATAACTACGAAGGATAACCCGAGATGATTCGCATCTGTACTGCAGGCACCCAACTCTTCAGAACTAAGTACAGGTTGTACCTCTCTAGTCCGGCAACCTCGGGACCTGACCGGTGCCGGACCATGGAAATTGCCGGACCATGGAAATTCACCCTTTTCCTGGATAGATAGTGACTTGTGCTTATGCCTGGAAGCACTAGCACCACTTTCTCTGCGTCATGGTCTCTTTGAAGACATATTGAAGGGTTAAATGTCGTATAGTAGCTTCTCAAATTCCGCGAGTTTTTAATTCTTAATGTATTTTATTGGAACACACAAAAATAAATAAATAAATAAAAATTTTGACGGCGGAAACTTGAATTTTGACGGGTTTGAACGGCCCGCCAACGTGCAGACGACGTGCATAATAGTGTAAACAGGGTCATTTCTCTTATGTACAAAAGATTCATTATTGTTTATTACTGAATGTCTTTTTTATTGAATTAATGTTTATGTGTGCAAAATGAGCAATACAATTCATTAATAATACGTAGAATATTAAAACACACGACGAAATGACACAGCATTGTTTTCGTTGATTACAAAACCAGTGACTGACTGGTTCTACATATAAAACTGAAGAAAATAAGACCTTGGTTGTAGCTGTAGTAAAATTAATATGATTGTTTTAAGTAATGTTATTTAATGTTAATAAATGGAACAATAGAAGTAGCTAACGATAATGGTAAAGAAAAAAAGAGAGATCGCATATGTAAGTGCACATGTGCACACGTGAAAACATATCGTCATTACTTTACATAAGAATATGAAAGCAACACTTATTTACTGTTCATATATATTTTAATTAATGTTTCTGAATTTGTTTTTATTGAATTAATGTATGTGTGTGCAAAATTAACAATACAATTTATTAATAATACGTGGAATATTAGAGGAGACGAGACGGCTGCCGGCATTGTTTATGTTAAAGCTTACGAAACCAGTGACTGATTGGTTCTACATATAAAACTGAAGAAAATAAGACCCTGAGTTTAGCTGTAGTAAAATTAATGTAAAAAAATGAATATGGTTGCTTGAAGTACCTGTAATGTTATTTAATGTTAATAAATGGAACAATATAAGTAGCTAACCATTAATGGTAAAAAAAAAAGTGAGACTGCTCGTATGTAAGTGCGCACATGTGAAAATATATCGTCATTACTCTACATAAGAATATGAAAGCAACACTTATTTACTGCTCATATATATTGAAGGGTTAAATGTTGTACTCTGTATAGACAAGCAGAGAGAGAGAGAGAGAGAGCAGCCGAACTGCCGGATGTAAACAAACCTTAATTTCCCGCGGCTTTGTTTTTTTTTTTTTTTTTTAAGGGGATTAGCCCACCCGGGCATAGGTCACTGACCCACATTGGGGCCTGAGGGGCAAAAATTTAATACTCCTGTAATAATAATAATAATTCAGATAAGTAAAAAAAAAAAAAAAAAAAGCTGCCTATCTACCTATTGGACAAACTAAAATCGTTCCGGACCACGGGAGTTTCCGGACCACAGAATGCCGGACTAGAGAGGTACAACCTGTAGTAACCTTTTCTGAATTCTTACAAGCTTTACTCTCTATTAATGTCATACCTGCAACATTTAGCCACCAGGCTACAAGGCTGGGCTGTGAGGTGTTACGGTTATTTTTCAACTCATAATTTTGGGTAGGTAGGTATAGGTAATTTTCTTCATTATTTTTTTACTCGGTTAAGTACACACAGAACCCTACATACATATTGTACAACAAGTAAAGTAAATAATTATTATAAGATCAAACACAAAAAGGGAATGAAAATTTCTTTCTGTTCCAGCCAGAGTTAGCTGGTTGAGGGGGGAGTTCTGTTGTGGTAATTTTTCAACTTGTAATTTTAGGTAGATATACTGTACTGTATGTAACTTTTTTTTTATGCTCATTTACATGCACACACAATCCTTCATACATATTGTGCAAAAAAAAAGTAACAGGCTGAGATGGAGGGAGCGTAGTGTCGGGGGGGCTGTTGCTAAAGAGTTAGCAGAGTTTGCTTCAGCCTTTTGACAAACCATGTCGGTCAGTATTTTACAACTGTGGTAATATTCCTTACATGTTTTTGTTTTTTTGGCTTGTTTTTCATTATTTTATATTAGTTTTGTACAGTATTTTTAATAGTAACACAAGACTCATCACCATAGCATCATCCCCCTCGCCCTCTCCCTACTACTCCAGGCCAAGCTGTGAGCTTTGTTATGGTTATTTTACAACATGTACTTTTGGGCTGATATACTTCTCTTTTTTTTACACACACAATGTGCAAAAAAAAAGATAATAATAATAATACAGGTAGTTATTATCATAAGGTCTAAAGCATAAAAGGGGAATAAACTTTCTTTGTGTGTTAACTATTCACGTTTAACGGGGAGTGAGGTATCTCGGCTCTTCTGATCTGTCTCCCGTGTGTAGTGAAATGATCGACATACAGTCATGCGCCGGTTAACGTCCTAGATATGTTCTTGGAAACGTGATGTTAACCGAAATGGATGTTGTCCGAAATTACAGAAACCTATGGGATTTATTGGTTCCAGGCACCCAACCCCAAGTTTCCCATTTTACGACCATTTAGACCCATTAAATATATATATAATGTTATGGTAAATATCATAAACACACATAGGCATGGCTAGGTTTATTACAAATTGATGAAAAGGGTACGCTTAATACTGTAGTCCACAAAACATGTAGCTATGTCTCTCTTTATTTGAGTGCCCCGTCATAGGAGTCCGTTTTCTTTCACTTCAGGACGCCGGAGTCGTTCGTTTTATCTTAATCTTAGAGTGCAGTGCACCAGAGACTTCGTTATTCCTTAGTAATGACACAGAATTTGATATTGCAACTGGGGTTGCAATTGTTGGGGCAACTTAGATATGTCTGATTACAGTTGGAATATTCAAGATCCACTGTGAGTGATGTTTAAAGCTTCAACTGTCTTTATGGTTGGTAAAACGTGTCAAGTCTGTCAGTGTGAGTGCTTGTGTTTGTACAACTGCTCTCATTCAGACCCACTAAAGATATAATGTTATAGTAATTATCAGAAACACACATAGGCATGACTAGGTTTATTACAAAGTGATGTAAAGGATACTGTACAGTGGGTAGTCCACAAAACATGTAGCTATGTGTATGTTTATTTGAGTGCCCCGTCATAGGAGTCCGTTTTCTCTCGCTTCAGGATGCCTGAGTCGTCCGTTTTCTCTTAATCTTAGAGTGCAGAGCACCAGAGACTTCGTTATTTCTTAGTAATGACACAGAATTTGAAATTGCAACCCCAATTGCAACTGGGGTTGCAATTGTTGAGGCAACTAGATATGTCTGATTACAGCAAATGTGTTATTGTCAATTTGTAGGTGAAAGATTTTATCCTTAGTAGATGTAGGTTAACATTACACCTGGAGGCAAATGCCTAAGGAAGGAAGGATATTCCTTTAACATATAATATCTGGCCAGTATGGGGAGGATTATCGTGTCTACGTTAGGGGGTCGTGGAGTGGTGGTCCAGCAGGCGTCAGGGAATTTTTTTTTGGGGGGGTGGCGGGGGGGCATGGACGTATATGCGATCGGATGTTGTTCGGTTGGACGTTAACCGGCGCATGACTGTATTTCGTCGTCCAACAGCCAAATGGCGGTACAATGCTGTATTTTTTTTTTATTCCTCACATTGACTGGTATATATTATTTTAAGAAAACTATGACTACAGTGGAAGAAATTACAAATTTTTTTTTTTTCCTAAATATTCCAAGCTGAAATGGGAGGTGCATCTTATTTGCCCGTATGTCTTATATGCAGTAAAATATGGTAATTTCTTCCTGGCAGAGCTGTCATGGTGACAGACCTTTTCATCTTATTATATGCTTTGCAGTATTTGTCAATTTAAAGTTTCCTAGAGTAGTGTACAAAAGTGTAAAATAACTAAATTTGACTTAAGTGTTTTATCCATCCAAACATGTTGTGACATACATCTATCATGAAAACCTTACCTTTATTATTTAGTAGTAGCTAGCTCTTCCTGATTAACTCCACAATCCTGACACAATATTGAAAGGCTTCATCACACTAGAAATTTTTATCATTTTACTAATACAGTATTACAAGAAGCATCTTGTTGGATATGTATTAATTAAGTTCTGGAGATGACTTATTACGATGGCATCACAAAATTTGTGACTAAGTCCCAGGTCGCTGATCTGACTTTCTGCCTCATTTACACACAATTGCAGGGTCTCAATTATTTCTCTTACTTTGACATCACAACATACATACTGATCATGATACTGTATATTGTTTCTCACTCTTTATTTATTTTTTTCATTTTCTTATTTATTTTTGGTTATTTTTATTATTATTATTAATTTATTTTTATTTTTTATTAATTTATCGTAATTATTATTATTATTATTATTATTATTATTATTATTATTATTATTATTATTATTATTATTATTATCATTATTATCATTATCATTATCATTATCATTATCATTATCATATTTTTGCCCCCTCGGCCCTGATGTGGGTCGGTGACCTAGGCCCGGGTGGACTAATGCCCGTAAAAAAATAAAAAATAAAAATATTTTTATTATATGTTGCTGTGATGAAAATTCTAGGACATTGTTTTATGAATAAATGAACAATTGACTTGTACTATACTGTATATCATAAATCTGAAACAAACCTTATTCTTGCAACATGCTTCAGGTGATAACTGTGGAAGGCTACTCTGCTAACCCTCATGCTGCTGCACAAGCTATCTACAAACAGACAAAAGACGAAATATCAAGAGGGATATGTACTTTCAATCCCAGTGATAACTCATGTCTTCCATCTGCTCTTGTTTTAGGTTTGTTGTTTTAGTTATGTTTTGAATATGAAGGTAGTAGAGCAATTGGTAGTTGTGTCCCTGGAAGTGTTCCTTGGAGAGGTGAATTATCCTTCGTCCTTCAGAAGAATTTCCTTTGGTCATATGCAGTATGTAGTTTGCAATAATTTTGTTCACTTTTTTTTTTTTTTATAAATAATTTTCCCATTTCATTGCCCAATGGCTTGTAAGTCATATGAAAAGTGACTTGTAAAATTTCAAAACAAAACCTCTTGGTAGAGCTTGCCTTATCCAGGGGCCATCAGCATCTGGTGAAAGGGACATTATCCTGTCCAATCAGTGCAATTGCTGCATAAACAGCCACCTGTTCAGACAATCCAAGTTTATGAAGTAAGTTTTAACCTCAAATCAGTGCTGGAACAAATCATAGAACCACTTCTCTGACCTCAACCCCCTTAATCGTGAAATGGAGTAACAAACTTCCTTCTTCTCATACTGCCTACCTTTGGCTTATTTTTAGAAAAAATTTTACCTAAATTTTTTCATGATTTTTATGATTTTTCCAAAATTAAGTGATTTCTTCTCTCAGTATTTTCATACAATGGTAGATTAAGACCCTCTGTAATTTATCAATTACATCCTCAATATTTTTTCTTATGAATTGGTAAAGTGATGTGTATTGAAATACTGTATTTATAATGAAATGTGAAATATTTGTGAATTTATGAGATTTTGGTGAAATGGCTACTCACAATACAGTTGCATATACAGTACTACACAAAGGCATGTTGTAATATGTAGGCCTAGTTTGGAAAACTAATGAGTGATAGTGAAATGTAGTGCAGTAGAGGCATGCATATGGGTATGGTGAATTTTAATAACTATACAGTATAGTGCTTATTTGATACGTATTCATAATGGCATCTCCATTGATGTGCATGTGCTAAGGCCTACCTTGTCTGATTGGTAAGTGGAAATATTATTGCCAAAACTAAAATTTTTGTCACAGAAACTTCTAACTCGTCTTTCTCTTCCTTAGCATGTGTACAATAATAATCCGCCATTAAAAAAAAATACTTTTGAAAGATTTCAACAAAAAACTAGCAAGGAAGAAAATGTGTATAAACATTTCGGCGACTGCACGCCTAACCACCACTTATTTTTCCTTTTTATTCTGTAACACCGTCACTTTTTACATTATATTTTTGTAATTACACCATCATCTTCCTCATGATTTATTCTTTCTTGCCATGTGCATTTTATACTGACTGATGCAATGATGTGGGTACAGCATGAAGAGGAATGAACAGTAAACTCTCACTTTTCACCTATACTCACTAAAATGGATTTTACATTATTTATAATTTTATTTATTTGTATTTTTGGGGGGTTTCATATAATTTCCCAGCCTTTTTTACATAGGAAGGCATCATTTGAATAAATATTTGACAATATCTTGGCTACGAATAGCGCTCGGGAAAAAATCTTCTCCGCGATACGATATCTGGTCTTCTGCTGGCTCCCGAGAGTTTTAATCAACTCAATTTTTTTTTCAGGGGTACCAAACTTCTATGTGGATCATGAAGTTGAAATGAATGCAGAGAGAATTTGCAAAGCCACTCATGCTGACCCCATGGCAAAAGCAACCTGCATTTTCTTAGCTCTCTTGATGGCCACAATACTTCAGGTAAGAGATTATAAACAAAATGTTCACCTTCGATGGTAATTTTGATAAATTAACACGAGAAAAGGAGATATGTATAACCCAAAAGAGTTTTTCTTGTTGAAGTGTCATCATCATAATTTGCTTTTATTGTGAACAAACTTTGAAACTAATTGTAACTGCCAGTCTGGTGGTTAAAGGATAATCAGACTTGTCAAGTTAAACTCGAACTTTATAATTTGGTCAAACCTGTTGAATACAATTTATTTTAGTATTTCAAATAAATCATACATAGGAAATCACATAAATGTCTAATCCAATATATATTTACATAACAATCATAGCTATGTAATTAGTCTAATCTTAACACTTACAATGAGTACTTAATTTGCCATATTTTCATGTCGTCACAATGATAAACGATGCAATGGACACAGTCTACCTGTGTACACAATAAATACAAGTTAAACTTACGTGTTGAAAGTCTTCAGGAGAAACAGGTTAGGTGTTGGTGGTGTGATGGGGAGAGCTACAGTGAGGCTGGCGGTGCCCTGCTGGGCACCACGTGATCAAGTTGGCAACTTCAAACTCGCTGTGTCAGGCGTATTATACGCAAACAAGCTCACCTTGCACAACCCAACACTTCAACCTACTCTGGGTCTCTCATCTGCCTCCATCTCAACACTAAATAACTGTATACGGGCAGGCACACCCAATAAACATGACATGAATTACAGCCTAACATAACGTTTGTTTATGTGTCATCATAATTCAGTACCTCTTGTGGTAACACTAATTATTCTTTATTTTTAAGGGCAAAGTTGCTGATGCTGCTACATCATTTACCAACCTCTTCATTGAACTGAAGGAGAAAGTGGGAGAGTTGTTCTCTGACACTAAAGAAAAGAATAAATTTCTCTCAGCATTTCTAATAAAGGACAAAAAATGTCTTCGAGGATGTGATGTATTGACCTCTATAAGTTTATTGATAAGTGTCTTGGAAAAGGAAAATTACAGCTTCAAAGAAGAGCTCAGTGATATTATAATGAGAGGGGGTGATGGCGTGAGTGTGCATGGAAGTATTGTAGGTGGTGTCTTAGGTGCTGTGCTTGGTTATTCACAGCTGCCACAAGACTGGTTGCTTCAGCTTCCTCAAGAAAATATTAGGTTAATGAATTGCAAACTCAACTTGTTACTGGATCTCTTTGGGTTGCCATAAATGCATAGTGTATGTCCAATAGTGAAGCAGTTGACTGAAGGTACAGTATCAGGCTTAGGAGAATCATTGTAGTTAGTGTTATTGTACTTTTTTTCAGTCATGTAGAATCACATGAACTTACTTGAAAAATGGCTATGCTTTTTTCATCTATTAAGTTAAATTTTGTACATGAATGATAAACAGCATGGTTTCTGGGAATGTTACATCATTAAGCATAAATGCAAGAAAATTAAATGAATTTGTTGGTACAGGACACTTAATAGGATGGTTACTATAGGGGGAAGTAGATTTTGAGTACACCACACCAGGAAAGAAGAATATCCCATGTGAATTTACCCACTCTATGACATGACAGAGTGTGTATATATATATATATATATATATATATATATATATATATATATATATATATATATATATATATATATATATATATATATATATATATATATATATATATATATATATATATATATATATGTATATATATATATTGTACTGTATTTTTAGATATACCATCGATGTGAAGTGCATTGGCAGTGCAATATATCCTGACTTCCCATGGTGACTACTGTATTTGTGTGTGCTGTTAACCTCATCTGCTGAGACAGTGACTTCAAACCAGGGTAAACATTCTCAACAACCTACTTCCTACACCACAGGGGCAGATCCAGGGGGGTTCAGACCCCCCCCCTCCTCCCCATTTTCATCAGAAACCTCCAATACCTTTTCATTAATGCAGTATTGTACTCGGGCAGTTTTTTTATAGTATGGTAAAATTATCGTTTCTGTCATGTTGCTGATTTTAAGTTTTGGAATCAGTAGTTTATAAGACAATTTTCTTCTTTAGCATTTCCTTCAGATTTTTTTTTTAATCAATAAAATTACCAACAATATACAGTACCTTGTTTAAAGTGGGCAAGGCTTTGAAGTAGAGGTAAAGGGGTAAAATAAAAAAAAAAAACACTGAACTAGCTTTTCAAAACCTTACCTAACATTTTCTAACCTTTAAAAATCTTAAAACTAGAAAGTTTACCTTATTCATGTTTTTGGAGTTTAGTAGGTGATGGTGTTTTTGGTTTTTAGTGTGTATGTGTTGGTGTTGTTTTCGGTGTTCAGATGCGGAGGGATCCAAAAACTAAAAAGTGATTCTTAACATTTTTACACGTGAGGAAACATTAGGTAAGGTTTTCAAAGGTTTGTTTGGTGTTTTTTTTTTTTACTTTACCCCACATTTTCCCTATACTTCAAAGCCTGCCACTTTGAACAAGTAATATTCTTGGTAATTTTATTGGCTAAAATGCTTGAAAAATAAAAATTTCTGACGGAAATGCTATAGAAGAAAAGTGTCTTAGAATTGTCTAAACCAGGGGTTCCCAAACCTGGGGTCGCGACCCCAAATAGGTTCAGAAGGCTCATTAGGTAGGGTCGCAAAGAGGTCATGGGGTCGCTGGGGTCCTTTGGGTCTGCCAGTGAAATGATTTGGGGTCGCACTGGATAGTTGACAACACTGGATAGGGTCGTGCTAGAAAAAGCTTGGGAACCCCTGGTCTAAACTACTAATTCAAAAACTTTAAATCTTAAAATTCATTACATGACTGAAATGAAAATACCCAGGATATCTCTTAATGAAAAGTGCACATGGTTTCAAAATGACCTCAAATTGCTCATGATATTGGTCATATTTCAAACAATTTTCTGTTGAGTGGTCTCACTGTGCAGTCTTTGTTCCCCCGACCCACAACTTCTTACACCCCCCCCTTTTTATATACCTGGATCCACCCCTGTACCAACAACAAAATGTGCACATTTTAGCTAATTTAATTTACTTAGCTAGAGTGAGCACCCATTTTGCATGAGTATGCAACAACAAAGCAGCTGAGTCCAGTACAGTATACAATATTTTTATTAGGTACTAAAGGTGGGACCAATAGGCCTGGTGGCCCATTAGGGGCTCTGCAAATACTCTATGCTAAATATTAAGCCTCTTTACAAGAAACAGTGTGACTAGCAGTCCCCTTCCCAGTTTAAGTCAGGTACCCATTCACAGCTGAGTTGGCTGGAGTTAACATAAAAGCAACTTGGCAACCTTGAGGACAGGAGGCAAGCACTGTAGCTACAGTATCTACTTAATCACAGCACCTGCATAATTGTGTGTAATCTGTACTATAAAGCAGTGTGTAGTGTTTGACAGCATTCATATATTATATGAAACATTTCAAGGTTTATTTTTGTGAAAATTTTGATTTTAGGGAATAGTAGCAAGTTTTTTTGATTCGAGCATACAACTTATTTTTTCTCAAAAGAATTCAAGTTCAACTTGCTCAAATTTATTATATGTGATGTTTACCTACCTGGTAGATAGTTTTCACCATATAAATTGAAGGCCGCTTTTCAAATTCCATGGCATTTTGTTTTTGTAATTTTGTATTTTCCATTGTTCTTAATGGTTAACTTACATATTAAGGCAGTCTGTTTTGTGTTCAGATGTACTCTTGTGGAGTTCTGGAAAGTTTCATTAGGTCACTTAAGTATGGCTGTACCATGATTTTGACCCCCCAAAATTAAAAGATTTTTTTTAGCTCTACTTCTTGTGTTATAATATTTCCTTGTATGTTTAACTAAAGCCCATTGATATACCACTTACTAATTACCGTATAGTACCTGTATACATATTGTTTTTTGAATGGTGTATAACTTAACTACGGTAGAGTTGCTCGTAAACACATACAGTATGATGGACCACAAAAGTTCTTGCTAACGTGAGATGCATTAACATAACTAATTTCATTTAAAAAATAGGAACTGGGGCTGAAAGACCAAAAACACTACCACTCAGCTTGGTTTACCTAATCACATATCGAGCATACGTCAATATATATTACTGGACGTAAAAGAAGGTGTCATGTTATCCTAAAATCTTTATCGTGATGTGCATTAATGAGTAACTCTACTAAATTGTTAGCTGGAAATTATATAATGTAATATTGTTCTTCAATATTTGTAGGACTTCTATGCCTTTTTACCATACTTGGACACTTTTAGTAAAGATTTTGTGTAGGATTGCAATTTCTGGCAATGCATGAACTGAGTGCCTTAATATCAGTCATTAATGAACAATTACATGGAACATTTATATAGAGTATATTGTTTTAGTGTGCAAGTTTACATTATGTTAAAGAATGTTTTCAGATTTACTATAAGGTCTCCACTCTGTCATATCCACCACAGAAAGCGGCCAAATACAGTGGTCCCTCGATTAACGAAAGGTCCAATTAACGAAATTTAGCTTAACGAGTTAGCTCCCATAAGGATTTTCAGTTCCATTAACGAACAAAACTTCGATTAACGACAACCTTACGAGAAACACGCTTTGTTGTGCACATCAGCTGATCGGCTAGTCCGCCAATACAGTAATTGGTTCTATGTTTCCAGTGGAGTAAATATCAAGAAAGTTTAGCTCTTGAATATTTTTGCATTTTTTATATTAAAATTATTGGTCATTCTAATTTAGTTAACATACTGACAATATGTACAGTACAGGGAACAGTTTTTGTGTGTGCATCAGCTGATTGAATCACCCAACAACGCTTCCCAGTTTAACATTGTTTACAGTGGAGTGAACATTCAGTTTGTTGGTCTCTTGAATATTTTTGCATTTTTACATTAAAATTATTGGTCATTCTGAAATTTAGTTCACATATTGATAATATACAGTGCAGAAATTATTATGAAACATGAAGGAGGCATTAGAACCAATGCACTCTGTAAAGAATATGGCATGTCATCATCGACTGCCTCTACAATCAGCTGTTTGATATGTAAACAAAGCTGCCGGGAATACGGCATACACACCTCAAAGTAAGTTAAAATGTAGTATTCTATTGTTTTTTATTTATTATTATACTGTATACTGTACAGTACAGTACTGTATTTAATGTTTTGTTAGTTCTATTACCGGTATACAGTATCTTTGTATGTACTTTTTCTGTGAGTTGGAACCAATTACCCAATATCCCATTGAAATAATAGATTCAGTTAACGAAATTTTCGGTTAACGAACTACTCTGTGGAACCAATTGTGTTTGTTAATCGAGGGACCACTGTACAGTGTGTGTGTGTGTGTCTATATCTATCTATCTACAGTAAGTCCTCGCTTAAAGTCAGGGTTACGTTCCTGAAAACGCGACATCATACGAAACAAAGTTAAGCGGATTAATTATCCCCATAAGAAATAGATAAAGTACTGGAGTTACGTTCCTGAGCCTCCCTTTGCCCCATGAAATACATTACATATATAGAAAATCATCGTCATTTCTATATAAAATAATGCATCCATATCCAACTTCTAAGTTTGTATTGGTACTCACCGATGGGCGGAGGTGGTAGAGCGAGCGTGTGGTGGGTATTGAAGCGGAGGAGATGGATGGCAGGAGGGGAGGAGTATAGCGGGAGCGGAGGAGGAGGGTGGTAAGTCACTGAGACTCTGCGGCTGCCTCTTCCTCCTCCTGCTCTGACTGAGGTTCCTCCGCTGTTGCTTGCTCCTCCGTTGATGTTTGCTCCTCCACCGCTGTTTGCTCCTCCTCGGCTGCCAGCTGTTGTGAAGATGCTGCTGCTGCTGCTTCTGCCGTCCCGCAACGAAAAAATGAATCCAGTGTTGACTGCTTGGTACGACTCTTCTGCTTCTCCTTATACATCTCAGTGTAACAACCAAGACTGTCATCAATGCTGCGTTGATCCTTTGAGCTATGTTCTATGTTTGGTCGTCATCTATAAGGATCTGCATTGCTTGCTGGAACATGTTGAATGATTCTGCCATCCTCTTGGAAGTTAGCGTTCGTTGAGGTTCTACTTCATTGTCGTCGTCTGCAAGGGTACTGTGTTCCGTTAACAGTTGCAAATCTTCATTGGTAAGCTCTTCTGTATGGGATGCCAGGATGTCCTCAATATCCTCTGATTCCAGCTCATCAAAGCCTGCCTGTCTGTCCAAGCTGAGGATATCCCTATTCACAGCTGGGACTAAGTCTGTGAATCCCGTAAAACTGTTGACACACTCGGGCCTCAATTTATGCCACACACCATTCAGGCAACTTTCTTAAACCTCTTCCCATGCCTTGCCAATGTTGTCAATTGCATGAAGAATGTTGAAGCCACGCCAATATTCTCGGATCGTAGGTTTATTATCTCTGTCTGTAGCCTTGAGCAGCTGGGCCATGGTACGGCATAAATAATATGCCTTGAATGCGGCAATGACCCCTTGGTTCATAGGCTGCATCAGTGCTGTCGTGTTGGGAGGCAGGAATACAACTTTTACACTGTCATGCAAGTCGTCAAGATTGGGAGGATGAGCTGGAGCATTGTCAATGATCAGAAGAAT